TTTTTCTCTGAACGATAACTTTTTTCTGACCGAGGTTTTCTATTCTAATATGGCGCAGTTGCTTCCTTTTACCGTTTTTTTTATTATTAGAGAACGAAACAGGGTTGTTTACTGCTTCAGCAACCTGTTTCAGCAACAAATACTAAAACGGACTAATTTTTGTAAATAACTAATTTTGACAAATTTCACCATATAAAAATTTTTAGATAAATTTATGACGCAAATGCATTACCCCATTGCAACAAGTGAATAGCGAACCACTTTCAATCGTAAAATGTCGTGCCCACTAAATATTCCCGAAACTAGTACGAAATCCACGTAATTACGTGACCGAAAAATTCAGTCGTTTAGAGTACGGCAAACGTTGAGGTCTCTGAGCTTTTGTTCAATGTTATTCTCGAAGAAAAAAATGCAAGGCGACAACCTAAAAAAAAAAAAAAATGCATGTCAGAAGAGGACATTGCGGCGGACCATCAGTCTAGTGTTTCTGGCTTAGGTTTTTACGACAATGTTCGACCCCCTTCTAGAAGAAGCAAACGCTGAAAATGGAGAGGATTCACTAAGTGTCATGACCATAAAAGCTCTGCTGTGTCTCTCCGAGACGCCTGGGTATCCTCACACACCTTAATAAGCGGAAGAACAGCCTACAATGACATGAGTAGTGATGCAAAACCATTGAAAAATTTACTATCGATGCTATGAATAGTTTTAAAAAAAATTGGGTTGTGTGTGTGTTTATACAGCCTAGAACTTGGTCTGCCTCACAGGGGCGACGAGTCTCCCAGCTGTAGATGAGAAATTTAGCCAGTGTGGTACAGCCGCTAGCCTGGGGTCTTTAACGTGCATCACGCAGTAGTGATACACGACCGCACGCCGGTACGATGCTCATCCAGATCGAAACGGGCAGGGGTGGGGCTCGAACCCAGGATCCCTGGGTTCTGCAGCGCGAGCTTTCACTCCACGTGCTCCGAGCTGGTGTGCGCTAGACCACTCGGCCACCGATCCCCCCAAGAATAGTTTTACAAAAACTACCGTTAGTGTAAGAATCTGTCGAAGTGGAATATCGATGGTAGTACTAGCAGTAGCGCAGTTGATAGTGCTATCGATAGTCGGCTTTTAGTCGACTATGGTTACTATAAAGTCAGCTTTCAGAGGACTGTCAAGTGTTAGAAATATTGAAGCATGTCCCCAAAAAGGGAACGAAGACGGATAATGTGTGGTTTTACGGAAAATATGAAATATAAAGGAAACAAAACATAAGGTTGCATTCTGATGCAATTAATTTTGAGGTAAAACAGAAGTGTCGGTTGGCTAGTTTTCTTGCGCACATATTTTGTAGATTCATGGCCCACATTTGCCCACATTTGTAAAACAATTCAGTATATTCAGTATTTCTTTGTTTGTCTTGGAGCTAGGGAAAACACTTACTGAAGACATTTAGCACCAGGGTTTTTGCAAGTTTGTTTCACGCTTGTGTTTCCTTTATTATTCAATTGCCCATATTCCTTTTTATAGCCATGACCTCTGATAGGTGAAAATTAGCACTGCTGGGGTTCATAATTTTTTTTTTCTCCTGATGACCATTTCCAGATTTATGCAACGCTTATGTAGTTTGCCTGTTAGGGAGCACACAGATATACATATTTCTGATTGAGCTCATAAAAAGCAGACACCCCAGAAAAAAAAAAAAACTTTGACAACCTTTGACATCTTTCATTCATAGTTTCTCACTAGTATACAATAGACATTTTAATAGTTTATTGTCAATAGTTTCTAAGGAAGATTTTTACCATTTTCTGATTGTTTTCCAATATGTTTTAGATTGTTCCTCAATAATTATGAGAAAGTCACTAATCGGAGTTGCATTTCTTTCGGAGCTACACCACATTTCCTCGACGCTCTTCGTTTGTCACCTAGAAAAAATCCCATCAAGAGCATTATGATGGTTAGATATTGATAGTTTATTAATATTCAACCCTACACAATTTCACGATAGTTGACTGCCGATAGTATGCTAGTATTGAGTTTCACGACAGTCAACTACTATCGGTGGTATACTATCGATCATAGTGTCGATAGTACACCATTGATAGTATGTATCGATAGTCTTACTACAGTAAAACCTCGTTGATACGTTTTTCAGGGGACCGCGGAAAAAAAGCGTATCAACCGGGAAAGCGCAGCAACCGATAACGCACTTAAAGGCACTCTATATAAGATGGAAAGCAGCTCTTATGCAATGGTTTATTTTATGCACTTACCGAACTCTTTTGGACTCAGACACGTTCACAAAAGCGCGTAATATCCACCTGCCGCTTCGAATTAATGGTATGCAGTAAAAGTCGTTTCTCCAGAAGCCGCAGTCCCCTCTCACTCTCCGCGCAGTCATGACTCATGAACGTTTACGTAGCGGCGCAAGGTGTCCGAAGCAGCGATCGCGTCCGCAAACGTGGGTGCAGCGTAATCGTTGGTTTTTTGTTCGTCTTCTTCATCACTTTCTTCGTTGTCGGCAGTAGTGAGGTCGGCCACAATGTCCGCTATGCTCGATATCCGAACGATCAGCAATCTCTTGCGCCTTCTCTCGCAGAATGCCTCCGTCGATGTTGACACAAGATGCCCGGGCTTGTTTGAACCATACCAACAGGGCCTCCTCTAACTTTGCGTGTTTTGCCCCCCGAGCCTGTTTAAAGCCTGGTTGGTAGAAAGGAGCCTTCGCTTCGATCTCCTTTCGTCCTCCTTTCGTCTCGCGACGATACTGTTTAAAGTTGACGGCGCGAGTCCAAGCTCTCTTGCGACCTCAGACCTCTTCCGGCTGGGATTTCGATCCACCGTGCGAAGTATGTCAAACTTCTCTTTAAAAGAGAGTGCTTTTCTCTTTCGGGATGTCATGGCCTTCGTCGGGTCCATATCACAAGAGCGAATGACATTTTAGCGAACGGCGACATTTGAGCGAATGGTCGTTTTAGCGAATAACGGGGGCGCGCGTTAACCCATCCGTCGCGCTGCGCTTTACGCCGCTTCGCGGCGACAGTCTGCGGCAACTCATTACAAAAATGTGAACCCATTTGGCCCACCCGAAAACGCCGCTTCGCGGCGTCCGACTATTCGCTAAAGTGTCATTCGATGAAACGTGGGCATTCGCTAAAACGTCATTCGATCAAGTGAGTGCCTCCCGCCTTCGTCAACGCGCACGCACTCAGAAACGGCACTGTTCACGCAGTCGAGCTGTCGAGCGGAACAGAAACTGGAAGTGCAGCCAGTGCAGCGTCCCGGCGTGCGTGCGGCGCGTAAACAACTCGCGCCGGAGAGAGAGGACAGATGAAAAGAAAGAGCAAGAGAGAACGAGCGTTTTCGCAGAGCTCAGCAAAGCGAGGTGTTGGCAAAGCTCAGTGAGGAGACCGGGAAAGAGGGGGAAAGGAGTAAAGCGAAGGGGGGCGCCCGCGTGCCGCGCGGCCGCGCGATCCGCGCTGCGTGGTTCGGCTGTTCGGCTCTGCTTCGCTTCGCTTCAAGCCGGCGTGGCACCTTGGCGCACGGCGCGCCGAGGCGCCGAGGCGCCGCGATTCCGGCACTTTTGGACGTAACAACCGGGAAAGCAAACGTAACAGGCAGGAAACTAATACATGTATCTCTATGGAAGTAAAACGGGACCGGCGTTTTTGAACGCAACGGACAGGAAAACGTATCAACCAAGAACGTATCAACGAGGTTCTACTGTATAGTCAACTATCGATGGCACCATCCATAGTTTTTTCAGTGTTGATAGTTGAATTTGGCTTCCACTATCAATGCTACTATCGATAGTTTTGCATCACTACATGCGAGTCGTCGTTAATTGTTGGTGACATATCTGCGCTCTTAAACATACACCGTGCCGCTAAAAACAAAACAACCCACAATGAAAAAAAAAAAAAAAAGAAGAAATTCACGCCTAGCAGTTATTGTTGCAGGCCGTATAAAAAAAGGAGCAAAATCTCCATTGACCTCTGAGCTGAGAGTGCTGTGGGAGTTTTGCGCTTTCCGAACCAATAGACCGCCTCGCTTTCATCACCTGACCCTGCTCCCTGCATGTGTCTAGGAGCGGAAGAGTAAGCATTACTCTGATGAGCACGTAGCTTCCACCATACTCGGGAGAAGAGCGTGTTGGTTTCAGTCATGGATGAAGAAAGAATAAAACAATTAAAACAGGGACGACACAACCACATCTTTCAACTAGCAACAGACGAGTGTCTGTTGCTAGTTGAAAGATGTGGTTGTGTTGTCCCTGTTTTAATTGTTTTATTCTTTCTTTATCCATGATTCCACCATACTGTCAGCTTAGGAACGAAAGGAGTTTGGTCCTTCCCGAAAAGTAACCAGTGAGCCCATCACAGAATAGCCCCAAGAGTGATCCACAAATACGGGTAAAGGGAGCTCATATCCTGCTAGTGTGACTAATCCCTGTGGTTCAGATTTGGGGGGTGATAAACTGCTGAGACGCTTAGCATGCGAGAAGGACGTAAAGAAGTGAAAAGGTAATTAAAGGGGAAACGAAAAAAAAAAAAAAATCTTCTGCCAAGAAGAATTAATTTTTGCACGTCGGACTCGAAGGAGCAGCGGGCCAAACACGTTTTTTACTTTGCATTTGTGAAAGGTAGACCCCAGTTGTTTTGAATTCCAACGGGCGGGAAGCACCTTCGAGCGCAACGTGTGTCGACTAATCGCATTCGTTTTAAGATGAGTGCGCAGTTTTACAATGGCTGACCGCAAGCAGGCAGCAACTATGCAGCACATGTGCGCATACTTTAGAGGGAGGCAGGCGCTACTTGGGGCAAAAGAGTGCCCAGGTGGTCTTGGGGCGACCATCCAAAGAAAGTTTTTGGGGAAAAGTAAAATTCCAATTCTGCGCACATGCTGGACATTTTGTGGAGGAATTTCTTTGGAGCAGAATCTCTGGGAGCCCCCATTGCTCTTTTGTTTGCTGCTCCTCGTGGCATGAGCTTGTGGTGTTTGTTTTGCTGCAGGTTAGTGTCCATGTACCACAAGGTGCGCAAGGGCATAGACGCGGTGCAGTACTTCACCACCAATGGCTGGCTATTCCGGTCAAATAACGTGGTGGCACTCGTGGATGAGCTTTCGGCTACGGACAAACAGGTGAGCTGCCCCTCCCGGTTCAGAGAAGAGGAACTCCATGTGCACTAGGTTAAGGGGCAACAATGCAACTAGAGTGTTCTTTTGTTTCTTTTTGTAACTTACAATTCAACTCAAACGAAATTCACATAGCCTGTCTGTTCTTAAGGTCTGACTATAGATTTGTAATTGGTTTTGATGTAGACAGCCTCGTTAATAGTGAAAGTTCGATTCGTCAAGATTATGGGAAGGATTAAGACAAACTGAAACACTGAAATCAGAAAATACAGTAAAACCTCGTTATAACAAAGTTGAAGGAGCGGTTGTAATTATTTCGTTATAACCATTAGTTTGTTATAGCCAATGTCCATTTCTTCCCACTATCAGCAAGCAAGGGGAATTATGACTATTTTGTTATATCCATTGGTTTGTTATATCCCACTTAGTTATAACGAGGTTTTACTGTAAGCATATTTCAAAAGACAGAAAGGTCTGTGGAATCCAGTAAGGTGTAAATAAAAGCTTTAAAGGGACACTGACAATCCCCAAAATTTGTTTTTCCCTTTTTGTCAGGCGATTCCTTATGGTGTCGGAACACTACCCAATTAATATTTTGCTACAGAGCCACATATTTTTTTAATGAAGCCAAAAAACGCAACTGCTCGAAGCCGAAACGGAAACTCCCGCACCGCACGAAGAAGTGGAGAGGATAGAGTGAGTGGCGGAAGTCACGTAACTACACCCGACCGTGCGGTTTCTTTTTTTGTTGTTTTTTCTCCGCACGTAGCAAATGAAGAAATGTGTTAGTTTGCCGTGCGATTCCTTTGTAGTTATGTTTGGTCCGCTCGCCGTTCTGTACTTCAAGATGAGTTGTTTTGTGCATTTAAGTGTTGGCAATTAGTAGGGAGTGCCCGAGTGCCGTGGTGAATTGCCGTGATCGGCTCCGAAAAGAATACTCCCAAGATGTTGCGAGAAGGGCTGCCTCACCTGTCCTGCATCTGAAAGTGGCATTGTGCGGCAGAGTGCACAAGTTTCTGAAAGATCAACGGGTTGGGATCAATGGCTGGCTGCAATTCCTCTAGAACAGTTACAGGAACCTCGGAAAGGGGACGCTACCTGATTTATATGCTCCTTGTATTTTGTGGAAGCTGACTACATTGAGTTCGCAGGCGTCAAAAAGGAAATCCCATACCATTTAGTTCAGCCGGGTATCGTCCACAGCACTTGTTTTTTTTTCAGTGATAATTGTAAAAAAGGAAATGTAAACATCACAAAATGCTTGACAAAAAAGAAAAAAGAAAAGGTACACTCACACCAGGGATTGAACCCGTGCCCTTTGCGTGTGAAGCGGACGTCTTTCCACTGAGCTACTGAAGGAACTCAGTCATGTGTAGTAATGCGGCTGGTAGTCTGTATGTCGGAAGTTTGATGCCGATTTCCCTTCAATACATGCACTCCCGGCTTGAAGCCGGGCAGCACCACGCATTGGCCACTTTCAGACCTAGTAAAGAAACCGTACGCATGCGTATTCAACTCGAAGTACGCACTTCGTGCTTGACGTTTGAGCGAGCGATGTTTTCAGCCACGAGAAGGGACGACGGCTCGGCGGTGTCTTCGTGCAATCAGCTTGCTGGTCGGGCATGTCGTATGGAAGAAAATCAGTTCTTTTGATCGGTCCAAAATTTCTTTTTTGAAGGCAGACAGAATTCGTCAGTAGCGTGAACGACAGCTCTGAAGTAGAGGTCCAACAGCCGTCGTCCGCTGCCATCCGCTAGTCCCACAATACGTGAAATGACGCCATGTTGAGAATTATGCAGTGAACGCACAGAATGCTTCCAGTTGTCTGTGCTACCTTTTTTTTCAATCAACGTATTTGCAGCTTTTTGGAAGCCACAAAAAATGTGTTTAATATTTTTTTTCTATTTTAATATTGACTGTGTGCCTTGAATGACCCACAACTTTGATTAAATTTGGTGGTCGCGTCGAAACCTTAGAAAACGGCCCGTGACCACGGAAAAGAGAGTGAGCGCGACTTAAACCGGCCAGTTCTCGATCGGCGGTTTTCGGGCGGAAATAAACCGAATTTTGAGCCGCAAATTCTGTTCTGGGTAGTTGGGCATCTCATATGTCACGTACAAGTAAAAACCTCTGCAAGCATAAATACCCTGTCAGTGTCCCTTTAAGGTGAGATTTATAAGTTTTTTTTTGTGACACTTTGAATTTTTCTGCCTCCACGTTATTTATTGCAGGAAATATAAAAGGCAGCTAAAGAAAAGCCTGATGCCATATTTAACATACTTATACTCTTATTGAATACCTCACATAAACAACTACCAGAGAAAGAAAAACATTTTGAGATTGGTTGTGTGCAAGGGGAGATGGCTTCCATAAAATAGCAAAGTGTGTAAATAGGTTATCCTGAAATAATATGGAAAGACATGCACAGCCCAATCTTACTATGTTCTTGAGTGAATATTTCAAAATAAAAAAAGTATTTCATGAAAATACTTCTGGGCAATATGATAAGTGTGGATCAGTCTTCAAAGACACAATTTCAAGAATGTATGCAGTGACGCAAGTGCTGCACCATTTGCTCAAAATTGCGCCATGAACAAAAGTCTGCTACATCTTGCGCCAAAATGTCATTTTTGCGCAGAATTGCGCCCTACTTGCGGCGAGATAGGCTCGAACGAAGCAAAATAATAAAAAAAAAATGTTCACCCTAATATTTAGTAAATTAGAAAGAAAGGATATGGGCACACATTTTACGGTGTCCCTGCTCACAATATGTCATTCGAGGTCAGAGTTCAGTCGAAGGCTGCAAATCGCCTCCATTCACGAACACGCATAGTACTAAAAGCTCAAGTTACGGGACATTTGCTGCGCTCAATTGGTTTAGCCGAGGAAAGGACACGCACGGAAGAATGACAAATGTCACAATGTCGTGCTTTTGACGCTCTTTAATTGGTTCCGTCGTCACCGTCTGAATTTCCGGACGATGTCGGCAATGCCAGGAGCTAAAAGTCGTGAGAAAAAATTGCAGTATAGTAGTGGGATAGGCAATCGTGCTAGGACAGAATTAGAATCCTTCAGTCCTGATTAAGATCACTTGATTATTGCGTTTGTTGCCTGCCTCTGTGCTGTGCCACTTGTGCCACCGCCTCTCACCAGCGCGCGTGCAAGTCGAGCCTTACCGCTTTACGCCAGAGTGCTAGGAGCAGTGGCTGACATGGGGGAGAGCGGGGGTAGGCTCGGAAATTATACTCAGTGATATTGCGGGTCAACCTTCTTTACTACTGTGGTCTTAATTGTAAGTTGACCTCTAATTGAACAAAAAAGAAATAAAATTTCGGTCTCTATTTGAATAAATACGGTATAGTCAAGATAGTCTCCGTGCAACAGTCAATCGAAAGAGCAGCGAACTTCAACTCAACTCTAGTTCTGAAGCCACTTTGGAGCATTGTCAGTTTTAAATTGCAACAGTAGGTTTTCATAGTATTTGCAGGTTGTCGTTTCTGCTGTTTATGATATTACAGACTCGAGTTTCGTAGTCTCATAAAACTGGGTGATGCATTCTTATTTATGGACGCTTTAGCACATATGCAGATTTTACTGTCATTTTACGAAAATTATATTTACGGGCTAAATAAACTACCGAGTGTAAAAAAGGGAGGGGGAGAGATGCTTTATCTCAGCTGAATTGTTGCACCATGATTCGTTTTCCTACGATTCTTAATGCCCATACCTACTCTGACTATATCTTTTTTCTAAAAAAAGGCCCTGTGTTTTTTCTTGTGCCCTATACACAAACACAACTCTGTTATGTCATGTCGTGGTGCTGGCACGTCGGGCGCACTCCCAATCTTGAGGTTGTGGGCGGAAGTCACCAGTCACCATGCGGGACTTCCATTCCTGTGTTGTTTTGAAGAATCCAGACTAAAACCTGCCTTTTGGTAGGGCCCCGGGGCTGTACCGAAAGAGTTGGGGATAGGTTTAAAGATCAGTTTTCATGTGTTTTCTGCTTACTTGGTTCATCCAAGAAGGTGGGTAGGTGTCGTGAAAAGGAAAAACCAGACGCCATCGGACCACAATTGCTTTTGCGGGAATTCACGGATACTTGCAGTTGCCAGATTTATTTGGTTGGTTTCAACTTGAACAGGGGAAAATCGCCAAGCTGCCCGGACCACCCGCGTACTACGTTTGATATGTCTTCAAGCTCAAATTGCCGCCTGAACGTTCAAACTGTCGTCTGTTCTTTCAAAGATCTCTGCTTGTTGTCGTTTGCTCGTTCGATGACAGCAGCCCTTAGACCAAACATTGACCCCGAAATTGCGATAAGAAGTAAGCGGAGGCCTCGAAAGACTTTTAAATTCAATGGTTGTTTTGCGGTAAGTAGACTCGGTATAAACACTAATACAAGGAGATGTTGGTCATTGTTACCAGTGACCGTCACCGACTTGTTATACCTGATTCACTTCGTCCAATTCTGCTTGCGATTTTGAGTATCCACGTCGAGCATTGCAGCCACTATCCTTGCTTTTGCAGCCTAAGCGACGTGGCAACTGAATATAGCGAGCAGAATCTCATCATGGTTTTAGCGTCCATTCTCGCAGCATTCAAGCAAATGAATCGCCACACATCACAATATTTACATGAAGCTTTGCAGTGTAACAAGCCGCGTTAATTTCGCTCAGGTCACTAAGGTGGCAAGACGTTGTTAGGAAGACGTAAAATCAACAATTCCACGGCGAAAAAGAGTGCAGGAACTCACACAGACGCCGAAAATGTGACATTCCAATGGTTTGTTATTGCGGGATGTGGCGCTTCTTGCCCACACTTGATCGCGCACGCATGGCACCGGTGGCATGCCATAGAGGGGCACCAGTTTCTTTGTAAGCATAAGCTAATGTATACAAAGTGGTTTTGCCTTTTTTTTTAAGCTGAACAAATTTGAAAATAAAACGCAGTGAAAGCTGCACTAAAAAAAAAGTCAAATTGGACGTTTGAGTGATTTATACAGCGTAAGGTTGGTCTGCCAGTAGGGGCGACACTGGTTTAAAGTAGGGGCGACACTGCACATTAGTGCACAAACTGCACTAATGTGCAGTTTGTGCAGGCGAGTTCTATGGCCAGGGGGCTAATCGTAATGATCAGTAGGTTAAGTAACTAAGATGCATTAATTAACATATTAATTATTAGAAATAAACATAGGGTTATAATTAGAAATCTGCTGAGCATCATTGAAAACCACTAAATCAATCAGTATTAGAAAGACTTGGAGCACGCAGGAAGTAAGATGGAACGCTAAAGTTACCGCTCGTGCAGCAGGAGTGAGGCTACTCGTTCGATGCTAATGTGCCCGCACATTTTTTCTGTCTCTTATCATAGCCCCCACCTTGTCCCTGTTACAAGACTTGTAACGTTTGTGCACTACAGCGCTTCCCACGTGCTGGAAGTTTTCCAATATTGTCTGATTTGGTGGTTTTCAAAGAGGCTCAGCAGGTCTCTAAATGGAACCATACATTTAATTTCACGAATTAAAACTTTAATTAGCATATTTTAGTTAATGAATGTACATATTGTGACGATGAGCTCCTATACTATGTCCCCCTGGACGTATGATAACCTGCACAACCGCGTTAGTGCAGCTTTCACGGCTTTTTGTAAACAAATCTTTTAAGTTTAAAAAAGAGTCCCTTTCTATTCTTATTACAAATGGTAATAAGTAATATGCTCCAGTATCAAAGTGCAACCCTCAGTCATAGTCAGAGATGCTCCAAAAGTGTATGTGGCTGCTCCAAATCAATATTGTTTCCTGCTACAGAATGTGCTACAAAAGGTAAAAATTCGCTTCCATCACCGTGTATGTGTTTTTTTTTAGTATATTTTGCCTCAAAGAGCAATAGCTAAGCTGGAGAAACACTTACTTAGTGACAGGGAGGATCGAGGAAATTTTGGAGCTTTGAAAACCTCACTTCCCGGAAGCACAGTACGGTTCAGACTCGACTCCTCTTGTTGTGCAGTTGTTCAACTTCGACGTGCGGACGATGCAGTGGTATGCATACTGGGAGCAGTACGTGCTGGGCATACGCAAGTACCTCTTCAAGGCAGAGGCCTCCAAGCTGCCAGAAGCAAGAAAGCACATGAAGTGGTGAGTTCGTGGAGAGACGCCTCGGTTTAGTTGCATGCAGTACCGTGGAAGCAACGGGTGGGGAGGGAGAGGAAAGCTCTTTTTGCACGAATTTCGAGCAATCGGCTAATCTCTCCGATGGGCAGAAAAGCAACTTGTGGGATGCACAAAAGAAGGTCCAAGAGGGGAGTTTCTTCTTTCCCTTCCTCTTTAACTGCTTGCATTACGTCCTTGTCCCCGTGCCTTCTGTAAAACGCCATGCGCAACTAGAGAGATTGAGTATGTTGAGGTGTGGCACAGTTAAAAAAGGTCAGTAGCCTCGTTTACATGAAAGCGACTTCAGCGCATCGACTCCACTCGTTCTTTGAACGAAGCCGACACGGCAACGTTTACATGAATGCGCACCAAGCCCTACACGAAGGTTGGCGCCACGCCGTGTGAAAGCTCAAAGTTATGCACTTCCGGAACCAGCCGCACCACGTTTTCCGGTGCATCACACGCGGAGGCCTTTCGACGCATTCAGTGAATGTAAAGATTGTGCCCGCTGTCTTCGGTGCTGCGGAAGAAGTTACAAGACGGAAGAAACATCAAAACCCAAGCGTTTAGGGCTCCAGGCCGGGCCGCCGGGTCACTCTGGACCAGAGGCGACGTGTGTGCGCACGCTTTGAGGAAGCCTCCGCGCTTCGCCGCACCAGACCTCGCCGATCGCGACCGGACCAACCGGACCCCGAGTCCGAAAGGCTCCTGCGCAGCCAGGAATGGCACCGAGGTAGGAGCTGCTCGTTCTGCGCTACCATGCAGTGCTCTACAGTGCTCGGAGTTCTCGGTGTCGTTCGTGCTTGCACCGAAGCCTTTGGGACCCCTTCGGACGCGCAAGTCGTACTTCGCAAGACTTGGACGGGGGCCACCCTCACCGAGCAGCTCCGCTATATTCTGGTTTTTTATGATGGCAATAAAAGCTCGCGTTTGTTCTCGGGAAAAAATTGCCGGCGACTATACGGGCCCGCTCTCCACGCCGCCGACGAGGTTGGCCGCCGCCATGCTCTCAGCTGTTCACTCGCTTCCGCAGCGAGCGCCTTCCCATAATCCTCCCCGTTCCAAAATGCGATGCGACCTCCTGTTACATGGGCTGAATAAATGCGCACTCGCCATCTCGATCCACCTCTGTCTGGCGGCTTGAATGCGATGCGCTTTCTTTTCGCATTATGCCGTTTACATGACCGCATTGAATGCGACAACTGGATTCAATGCGACTAAGTCGCATTCATGTAAATGCGGCTAGTGATTCGCAGTTTTCTTTTTTTTCAGTGAAATATTCAAAGTACTGCTGTGGGATACTGTTTCAGAGCATCGATAGACTACTTGCATAAATTCGTCGATGCGTGCGTTGCATTCTAGCAATGTGCGAGCCAGGACCAGACTGCATATGGATTTAGCTTCCCACCGATTCTCACAATACGTAACGTGGCATTCCGTCACAATGAGGCACTCCGCGTTTTGTACAAAGTTAATTTCGATGGCTCTTTGAGTTTTGGAATTCTAAGTCTGTTTAGGTGGCTAAGTATGGCAATTGTTGCTACCGTGCCCAAACAAAATCGGGGGAAGAAATAACTGTCGATGTCACGCTTGCGCTAACTCTATCCTGCAGTGTGCGATGGGGTTTCTACAGAATATGTATTTGCTCCGAACCTCAATGGACACTTGGAGGATTTGAAGGATGCCAAAGGGTAGAATTCAAGGAAGGTTCAGACAATTTTTTTAGTACTTACTTGACTTGGTAAATGCAGGTTTACGTTACTGCAATGCAAAAGTAAATAATAAGCAGGAATTCCAACAAACAGAAAAGAGTTACAGTCCACTTGCCATCCACCACGCTCGCTCACGGTCAATCGACGGCAAGTCCTTTGTGCTTGGACGTCGCCGCGAAGTGTCGTTAAGAAGCGCGGAAACTACTCGACCATAACGCTACAAAAAAGGCAGCAATTCTCAAGCTAATAGGAAGGGGCCGAACGCAAACGAAGGTGCAACTGAAACAAGGCATGCAGGCGTAACCTGAAGCGAGGCACTACGGTTCTTTTAAGCTCGCTTAGCCGTATTAAAGACAAATTTCTTAATCTGCCGATTTTTCGGACTCCTCTATTATTTGGACCTTTTTTCGGTCCCTGCGATGTCTCAAAAATTGGTCGGCATCTGTGTATGAAAAAGTTAGTGTGGCGATTGCTGCAGGCATGCGGCGAGCCTCTCTGACACCTGTTATGTGTCCAAAGTATCGTGACGTCACTGTCGACGTCCGCAAGCCAGCTTGGTGGCGAGCAATGGTCATCTGATCCCCCCCATCATGCCATTTTGGGTAGTTTTTTCGTTTTTTCCGCACTCTCCTGCGCTTGGCGCACAGCAAAACGAGGGGCTACGTTGGAATTTTAATTCATTACAGCAGTCCTACTAATAAGATTGAAAGAAGACTTAAAAGACATAATTTTTAAGGTTCCTACATTGAAACTTGTACAGTTTTGTTTTTGAATTCAAGGACATCTTCAGCTTTCCTTTTATAGGGTACTTACCAACCTGAAATTGTTAGAGAATTTCAGAGCATAAAAATTGCTAAAAATCGGGGGAAAAATAGTTGTGTCGGCGGCGCAGTGGCACACAGTGAAGCGGGTGGGCATAACATGGGGTGGTGTGAATAGCCTTCGTGTTGAGTGACAGTTTCCCGAGGCATCACTGTGCAGCGTAAGCGATCACCTGATTCGTCGGAACGGCCGCTGCAACCCGATCCTGTGCATTTTCTTTTGTATGGGAATTTATTCGAAATGGTCAGGGAAAGCCTGGAAAAGTGAGAGAATTTGAAAGACACAATTTGGTAGACACCTTGTTTAAACAGAATATTATAGCTCTTTAATCGTGTTGTTTGTACGCTTAGACAGCGGACAGTTCGTCGACTGTAATGGGAATCTGGAGTCTCTGCTGTAGTTGTGAAATTTTGCAAGTACACTACCGTTGCTTGCCTGGGGTCTTTAGCGTGCATGGCAGAGAAGCGATGCAGGATCGCACGGTTGTACAATGCTCATCCAGATCGAAACGGGCAGAGGCGGGAAAATAACCTAGGATCACCGGGCTCTGCGATGCAAGCTTTCGCCTCACATGCTTTGAGCTGCTGTGTAGTAACACGCATGGCCCCCCGATCTCTCTTTGTAACCCTTAACAGCATCACACACAATCTGCCGAAGAATCTAAGATAACTTCTTCGATAGATAATGGTTTATTGGAGATGTTGGTGCTGACAGTCAAGGATAGCCCTCCCGTGTTTTGAACAGCAATCCGTTTGGTGACATTGGAGCCAACGTAAATGGCTATACGACACCCCAACTCAACGCAGGCTGCCGCCATGCAGTGAGGCAACTGGCACCACGTGCAAGCTTTGTCGTACGCAAAATCAAAACCAGCCAAAAGGCGTCTCCAGTGCACGTGCCATGTATTCCTTCCACCCCAACTCCCTCGTGCGGAAGCTTTCCCACTCCGCATCCTTTGCATAAAGGTATATTCGCGCGATGGCGTCTTTCCTTGTGGAAGGGATTAAACGTTGAGTTTCAAGACCACGTGTGCTACATCACAGATGTTCGCTAGTCCTCCGATCCCACGAGCAGCTGCAGTGCCACCGACCTGCAGAATATCCTTTGTCTAATTGGAGCAATTGGTTCCCCCCTTTCGGGGAAGGATTACGGCCTGCAGCATTTAGCTGTGGGGTGCCTTTTCTTTTTTTTAATTTTTGCGCCCTTGTTTGATGAGCCCGCTAGGGACGCAAACACGTTCCCGAGAAGAAAGACCTTGCCGACTCAACTAAACATGACTCCAACTTGCGAATGCTTGCTCGGATTTTTTTAACTGCCTCCTCCTTCTCGCGGCGTTTCCTCCTCAGAGGTCTGAGACGTAGTACTACTTCGCTTTTCTCTGGATACAGATCTGTCATGTGAATGCACCACAACTCCGTTTGTTTTCTGCTGACTGAAGCGACTGCACAAATTTTAAAGCATGCAAGGAGTGTGTCTACTTCATTCAGGAAGTTTGAAATTCCCCTGAAAAAATTTTGCTATATTGAGAGTAGTATCTTGGGTTTCCAAGGAGCTGTGTAAACCCTGGTACAACTAAACTGGGAATGATTAATGAGATGGCGCATTCAGATGAGATTTCGGGGGCCACACAAAGTTAGTTGTCCCATCTAAATCATTTTGAATATAACGGTATAATTTAGAACAGTGGTGGCCGAACTACGGCTCATTGCAGGTCGAAATGTGGCTTGCGACTCCACAAGATTGGAAGGAAAGAGCTAGAAAATAAAAGATATCTTGCATTTTGGCAGTTTTGTGCCATCATCCGTAACCAGGACAAGGTGCTCGTTTCGGGAGTGGGGACTCTCAATAAAGAAACAATATGAGCAAGCATTTCTTGGGTGATATTCACTATGGCCACCAGCTGAAATAAAAGGATTTCAAAGTAAACTGCCATGCCCCTTTTTTAGTGCGGTCTTCACTTAAAATGGTTATTTTTTGTGGCTCTCGGGCTACGCTTGGTTTAGAATATTGAGCGCAATAATTTCTGGAGCAAATAAAATCTCGGAGGTTTGAACTCGGGTTTTCTCCAATTCATGGCACTCTTTTGTGGTACGTGCCTTTAAACAATGTGTTGATGTCCTGAAAGGAAAGATGTGAGCGATATTATGAGGGCTATTTCTCACATATTCAACACAGAAGCTAATTTAAGTTTTATAAGATAGCTCCAGGACATGGAGAAGGACGTGCTGCTGCTAAATAAATTGAATAAAATTAAAAATAATGCGAATCCAATCATTGCAAATGGCATTGCAGACTCGCTGTCACATCAGTTGTTTTTCCACAGTCGAAACATCTCAAGGAATAAACAAAAAGTAGGAAATAAAAAGATGAATTTTGTGAAACGCGTCTACTCCGAAACTGAAAAACGGGGAATGTGCGTTGATTGTAAAATAGCAAACATCCGCCCATTCTACAACAGATGCCACCCCTCAATTTCGCGACATTCGGAAAATACATAAAGTACATATCTTTACATATTCTTAAGATGTGTGCCCACCCCACAGTTCTGCATGATTATTGCAAAATTTTGCTCGGGATTTTACGGTATACCTTGCTGTCTTGCTATGTATGCCTTAGTGACATACTCTGTTGTCCCCTCTCTTACATTTTTTTTTTCTGTACACTGCCAGCATTCGATTGAACTCCAAAGAACGATGACAAAAAGAAGTGCAGAAGGAGCAGATAAAAATTCCAAGGACATCTAAGCACTTCTTGCGAGTTGTGAATGCAAAAGCATGAATGTTCAAGGGCTTTGGTCTCTTGCCGCCCGAGACGCTTAAAATCTCGATCCGCTTGCGCCTCACGCTTTCGAAGGGCTTTGTTCTGTCTCCTAGCGTTGCACCGCTCCTCGTTCTGCCCGGCGTGTATTTGGAGACAGGGCAACGATGGTGGATTTCGCTGCCCGCCTCCTCGCTCGTTGTGCTGCGTTATTCTGCTCCCTTAGTTCGTCTGCAGTGTACTTGCATGGATGGGCAGTTTTTGCTGCTGCTGCGGCCACCGACGATGTGGATGATTGAGGCGCCGCCATGTTTGTCGACGTCGAGAGGAGCAGAAGCGGCCGAGCGCGCACCACCGCGTTCCTTTTACTGGCGCAGGGCCCGCAGCGCCATGGGGTTGCATTCCTTGAAACTATGATGCGCGCCAGCCAATCGGAGCCTTGTTCCTAGAAACTATAACTCGTTTTAGCCTATGCATTCTGCTTCAGACAACTGGCTTGGGTCCATGGGACAGGGGAAATTAGGTACTGTTGGCGCGGCTTCAAGAGCTGATAATGCCGGTTCACTCCATGGGACAGTTTAATGCTTTCGCGTTAAAAATATGATAAGCATGCAGCCCAACCAACATATTTTCTGAACACAGAAGGGCTTCAGAGGTACATAACAAAAAGCAGACGCCGTTCCTAAAATGACAACAGAATGCAATACCGTTGTAGCAGGAAGGATGATATGGTCCCATCAGGCACTCAGTCACCTTTAGCCGTGTTTTTCTGCTTCTAAAAGGACTGTCTTGAATATAAACTAAAACAGACAGATATATTTTTGTTATTTTTTTCTTTTGCAGGTTGTATGCCGTGCACCTGTTCCTGAACCTACTGCTGATCACCTTTGTGTGGCGTCTGCTGCTGACTCGGTCGCAGACGGCACGCAACCTCTGCTACTTCATGCTCACCTTCGCCACTCGGCTGTGTAGGATGCTCCCCCTCATGCAGTCCCAGTGATGGCCTTCCAGCATTGCCATAGCTACTCCAATTCCTTGCGTCTTCTGCAACCACGCCTGCCATCTGTATGGCGTCATCAGCTAAGCACCATCTGCTAGACATCGTCGGTTGAGCGTCTGCTGCGCGTCGTCTGCTCAGCATCATCTGCTGAGCGTTGTCTGGTCGACGTCATCTGCTAGACGTCGTCTGCTCGAAGTTGTCTGCCCGGTGGTCGTGCGTTGTGACGATTGTGCGTGCACCACGATGCATGCTCCATCCACGGTCGTCCGCCACAGGAATTACCTGCCGTCAACAGCCATCTTGCCACGGCAGCGACGTTCCACTGTAGAGATTGTGTGCTGCAACAACGGTCGTTCACGGGAGAGTCATCGGTCGCCACTACTGCCATTTGGTGCCGTCACCACTGCACTGGCTTGTCTCTTAGCTGTGGTAAAGAAGACTGCCGCAGTTTCCCGGGGGGCGGGGGGTGGTGGGTAAGGGGGGGGAGAATCATTGTGGCCCAAGTTTTGTTTATTGCTTCAGGTATTTAGTTTTAAGACCGGTTCGCACTTAGCCTTAAAACCAGCCGGACCGCATCTCGGTGCTGAGGTAATGCAAAGTCACTTCTGTATTGAGTGCGTAAGTAAGAAAAGGCAAGGTCCTATGCATTGGAGTGCCGATGCAGCACTGTTTGTATAGTGCCGAGTTAGCATTGCAATGTTTTGTGTGAATGGGCCTTTAAAGTCGTCCATGTGGGGCTCCCACTGTGGCCATCTTGAAAAGGTACTTTCCACGTTTCTGGCTTTTACTGCAGATCTAGAAGCGGCAAGGGAATAAGCAACTCTGCAAACATGCTTATTTTTTTATTTCTGCTTTCTGGATATTTTAGGACGGCATACAATGGTTGTAGCTACATTGTTAGTGTAGAATATGCGTACAGTAATTTACGTTCACACTGTTTCGGAAATTCTTTTAAACACTCGTACATGTAAAGGCTTTTTAATCTTTTTCTTTTTTGCTTTTCTTTTTAATGTCTTTGAGAAAGTAGCTTTTTTAAATGCCCTTGAAATATAGAAGAAAAAAAAAGTGTGTGAGCAAAGTTGCCTTGCCATAGACTGTCGCCTTTATTCACTCGTAGGATGCAAATTTCAAACTTGCTTTTCAAGATGGCCACCGTAGGGCTGTAAGCTTAGCTCTGACTATTTATCGAGTCGAAAGTTGTCTCGTCCTTGTGGGGAGCCGGGGGCAGCCCTGTGAGCATCGAAGGTGGCCTCCTCGTGTACGGCGACATGTTTACATGGAGGGGTGTCTGAAGGTTGGTGGTGGTGGTGATAATACTTATACACATCTGTATCATTATTGCTTAGGCTCCGTGAACGGAGCCGTTGCACTCGAGGATTCCTTCTAGGCATACTTATTTACACGCAGAAGCGCACGCTCGTCCACTTAAGTCGAGCTCCGGCCAGAGGCAACAGGGCGTTTGGAACCGGCTCATGGTCCGCGGTTTGCGAGTCGAAGAGCAGAAGTCAGGTGGCGGGGTAGATGAGACTTATTCTTTGAAGGACTTCTCTCGGGTTCTCCAGAGAAAGGCAATAGTCGCCAACAGGATCGAAGGTAGGAAGCTAGGAAGCTTCATGGGTGCCGGAAGTGGGGACGACCGAGGGCCCTCCCTGCCGTCCTCGTCCCGTCGGCGATTATGCAACACTTCAGTTATCTTTGAACAGACGGGAGTTTTTGTTTTCGGGCGGGAGGGTGTCGCCACGGGCATTGCTATTAGTCATCGCCCTCTTTTGGGGACAGTGCTCGGAGGCGACGCCACTTTGTCACCACCCGCGTGGCTAGTCTGCGGCGATTGCGTGCACGCCGGTGATCATCGGTTGTGTACCGGAGGTAGGGAATGGAGGTTGCGTTTTTGTTCTTTCCACGGTGATAACGGCAGCAACGGCTTTTGTTTGGCCGCCGAGCGGGTTCATGGGTGCGGGCTGGGAGACGTTTGCATTTTGCCGCAGAAGAAATTGTAGGACTTTGAACACATCTCGAAGCTGGTTTCTGAACGCATTGTGGGAAAATACAACCGAGGCGTGGTTGCAAGGTGCATCACTATTAGAGCTTCACGTGTTCGGCGTTTACCGACAGACCCCGAAAATGGATCCTCAAGGCGGTTTTATCGAAATGGGGGGAAGAGAGGGAGAGGGGGGGGGGGGGTAAGAGGGAGGGAGAATAACAGAAAAATCCAGATTTGGGGCTGCCTTCGAATGAGGAAAATGCAAGCTTCACACGAAGGAATATTTAACTGGAGCTATATTTTGTGACGACTCGGAACATGGCCCCACTGAACTCTCCGTAAGGCTACTGCTTTTTTTCAGGAGTCGCGCCCTTTAACTTGTTTCCTTATCGGTACAGGGACCTTGCCCAAGTATTCAGGTTAGCCGGAAGTTTGGGAATCTGATTCCCGTGTCTGATTTTCTTCGACTCAATCTCCGACAAACGGCATTTCTTTTTTTCTTGCACCGAAAAAATTACGTTGGAAAACATTGAATCTTTGGGGAAAAGAAAAAAAAAAAAAAACTTTTAATAGAAAAAACACAACTGAGAACTTGGAGTTTTAGTTGCAACGCTAATTTTAGATAACAAATATTCACAATGTTTAAAAAAAAAAAAGGTAAAAGGTGAACGTTGATTTTTTTTTTTTGTATACTGGCAACCAAATTTTTTTTTTTTTTTCACTCCACATCAAATATTAAAAAGCAAAACATTGCTTAAATTGTTTGATCAGTGATTGGTGGCTCTTCTGTCCAGGTTAAAAAATAAAACGGTGGTATCTCTTTCCTAAGACTTTTCACATGGGTAGGTTCGTCCTCTGTTTAACTCGATGTAATTGCAGCACCTAGTGAGTATACCCCTCTGCTCACCACTGCACGGTAATTCCAACCACTGCCTCTGTGAAATGCCAAGTTTGTGGCAGAGCTATTTGTGCTTTTTTACCTTTGATCTCAGGTAGCCCAGGAACCTGTTTTTACATAAGCCTTTTTTTTTTGCATTAGCCTTTTGGCAACGCAGTTGGCAGCATGTGATGCTAAGCTGAAAAGCTTGCCGGCAACTTTTGTTTCATTTGTCCTTTGTTAAACTAAAAGTGTAGACCTGCCACGGATTGCGTTGGATAGTGACTTTTGTTGTTTCTTTTGAAGTCTCACTTTATTAAAGGCATTTTAACGAGCTAGAATTCTTTCTGGGATTTTCTTTCTTCCAGCGCTCTTTTTTTTTTTCTTTTCATTATGTTGCACTAGTGAAGTTTTTGGAACTTCATTTTCTATGGACGAATTTCAATTCCTCGAAATTGAACTCCGACAGCCTTCTTTTCTGTTGGCAGTTTGAGGAATTGCCGTATATATTACTACCAGGTGTGCTTGGATGGCAGGGCTGCCATTTTCTTTTATTGTCTGATGGATTTGATAGAGATCTGTATTGTTCTAGCAACAGTCGTAGGCTTCCACCACACTTCAAATATGCCTCCTAGCTGCTATGGTAACCTTTAAGCAACACTTGAAGCTATGTATGACATAGAGAAGCACGGCTTGTAAAAACTCCGAGAGTGACCTGCCTCAGGGATATTACAGAAATGATGGCTCTAATATTTTAGTTTTTGTTATGTGGCTACTGCATCCTTTCCATTTGGAGTCACCCTGTCGAACCTTCGTTATAAAGTTGTGATGCCGTAAACCTTTACAAAAATTAATTTCCGAGAATCGGGTGATAAACAATCACAAAAAAATGTATTGTGCGATGGTGCTGCCAGCGCGTGTGCTAATTATATAGACCAGTTTGCCCCTGAATTTGATATTTTGTTCTCGCATTGCACTACAAACTATGTCACTCTGCCAGGTTTGTGAGATATTAGGTCCACTAATATACTGCGATTTGTAAATGGGTGAAAATCGATGTTTTTAAGCCGGACTTGATTGTAGGTGGCGACATTTGGAATGCCATCTTACGAAGCTAATTACAGCGGTTGGTCGAAGAGAGAGGGGATTTCGGTGCGCATGCTGCTCTTACCCTTCACGCCGCTATCGCCTCTGCGAAGTATTACGCGGGTGCAGAGACCCAAATTCCACAGCAGTTGTTACCCTAGGGTTGTGCGATTATTCAAATAATACACTATTTGGCATTTGATATAAGATGAACTGCGATATTAGTCTTGTGCGAATATTCAAATAATTTGCTATTCAATATTCGCTTAGAGATCAACTTTGCTATTCATACCTTTTGAAGTATTGATTGGGGCGGGCGAGCCCCGTCGAGTGCGCTTCTCGCCGAGCACTCGTGCACTGCGGGGAAGCAATAATCGCAGAGCTTGCATGCTCCGTGGGTATTGCTTCCCCGTAGTGCACAGGTGCTCGCTGAGAAGCGCACTCAGCGGGCTAACTCGCCCCAATAGACCAACACGCGGCCCTGACGTCGCGCAGCTGCGGTGGCGCTGTTGACGGCACGGCGCATGCGCAAAAGTTTCATTTCACGCGAATCTGGTTTCTACGCACGCGCAGTGCCCACACCTGGTGTGGGCAAAACGCGAGCTTGTTTGTAAACAGCGTGTCGGTCTATAGACCAATCTCACTAAGCGTTCGGCGCATACGTGACGCCACCATAACTTTTGTTCACGGGAGGCAAACGGCCATGCATGCGAGGGATTGTGCTGTCTCGTGCTCCACTTGCGCAGAACTCGAGCGGGGTTGTCGCACCCGCAGAAAGACTAAAGTTTCCTCGATGCATTGCGGCAGCGGTGGCGTAGTCAAACTGACAGTTGAGATCGGTCTATTCAGCAAAACTATGTTATGCAGCAATGTTTTGACAACCGGCCTTCATTATTCATGCTTTTTTTTTGGTCAGATTTGAAAAAGATTTGCTTATAGTGAGAAGATTTATAAATCCTTTTGATTGGGGTAGCTGCGAGAAATTTTTCGTTTACGTGCCACAGTTAATAAAGTTATATTGAAATTAAAAGGTTGGGAACAATGTTCACGAGTTCAGCTTAAGTTTTGTTTAAGCATGGTGTTGGTAGTGAAAAGCTTGGAAAAACTATTCGATACTAGATTCAAAAATATTAGACCAAAACCGCTATTCGCTTTGAACATAAAATCTACTATTTGCATAGGCCTATGCAATATTCGTACTTTTCGAAGTGTTGATTGTGATGGGTTAGCCGCATTGAGTATGCTTTTTCCTGAGCACCAGTGCACTCCAGAGGAAAAAGCATGCCTTCAAAGAGGGATAGTGCACACATAATAATAATGTTTTACTTCCATCAACGTATGTCGGTGGAGGAGAACACGGAAAAAAGGTGTGCTGATACAGCTTGACAGGTCCTTGGCCCCCTTATTAAAGAATGTGCATAATGTACTTAAAACGAAATGGAAAACTTGTGAATGTTGATATCTACATTACAGTAAAAATTTCGTAATGAAACTGGCTACTTATGCCCTGATAACCTGTATTAATCATTTCTGCTTTTTTTTTTTAAGGAATGAAGAAAGAATATTTGCATGCGAAAAGCAGATTTATAAATCCCCTTGTATGGGTATAGCTGGACATCTCTGTAGGTTTAACTTTATGTTAAATTTGTTATTTGCTTGCCACGTAAGGTTTGACTTTCTGAGGCCTCACTTCATAAATGTAGTTTGATTGAAATTAATCGAGCTTAGAAGCAGAAGAAGTACTTGTTACCAGGGCTGGGCAGAGATACTCCAAAAAGTATTCGGGAATACAAATACTGAGAAACATGCGTTATAAGGCCTAAATACAGATACTGAGATACATTTGTCGTTTATGCAACGGGATATCCCTGAGATGCTTATGTAGCAACGGCAAAAACGTATTCCGGAATAAAGATACTTGTAGAAATACATTTGTTCCCGAACGGGGGTACATGGAGAGGGTGTAGTTTGTGGCAAATGGCAATTTATGCTTGTGTTCCTCTTTTTGTGCCATATTATGCACTCCCCCTTACGTCAAACTCTTTATTTATTATAATTGCCGCTAAAGAAACATGTCGCCCCCGTTGGACCATATAGTTACAGAACGGTAAAGACTGCATACCATACTTGGCAAACGGCGCCTGCCCAAAATGAACCCCGTTTTGCTGAGAGGGCGCATCTCAGACTGTTGTCTTATATTCTTCCGAGTCGCCCATAGTGTAGGCATATTGGACCAATAGGGCCATACTTTTTCTCCACTTAACTCCTTTATAGCGTTTGCTCTGCTAAATTCGGAAAAGGGGATGGCTTTGTGAGAGGAGCTGATTTTGTTATTCTTGCAAGTAACCTTCTTTAAGCCTCAGTTTTTTTTTAGAGCGCAGCTCTTAGGCGCCCGTTTCCAGCTTGAGCGGCGTCGCCGTCGGCATAACTGCACGGTGCATTATGGGTAAATTTCCCCGCTAAATCTAGCGGAAAAATTTCCCCGCTAAATCTAGCGGAAAAAATTTCCCCGCTAAATTTAGTAGAAAAATTTCCCTGCTAGATTTAGCGGAAAAATTTCCCCGCTAAATCTAGAGGAAAAATTTCCCCGCTAAATCTAGCGGAGACATTTCTCTGGGGGTCACGTGACCTTGGGGAGGGGGTCATGTGACCCCACCAATGTCACGTGACCACCACCCCCTCAAGGTCACTTGACCCCCTTGAAAACACATGAACCTCAGTACCCTTCCCTCCTCCTCAAGAGCTGCGCTCTAATTCGGCGTTGCAGGGAGTTGTAAACGGCTTTCATTTTTTTTTTCTGTTGTTGATAGAGATGGATTGTGTTATAGGGCGGGTTTATATAAATTTCGAAGCAACTTGCTCCAAACATGTTTTTATCCTTTAAAATTATCTTAAAAAGGGTAACAAATGTAACGAGATATTAAAGTCCAGCAAAATATCGCGACACAAGCGATACATTGTAAATGTATTTTACTACTGAGATACAAATACATTTTTTAAATATATCTTGATACAGATACTCAAGAGTATCTCTGAGATACTATCGCGACACATTTGTATCGCGATACTGCCCAGCCCTGGTTCTTACCAAGCAGATGCTTGGTAACAACCTTCGTGAGTTCAGCTGAATATTTATTTAAGCATAAAGCAACAGGAGCGATAAACTTGGAGAATCTATTCAATATTCAATTCGAAGATATTCAGTCAAACCCACTATTCGCTTTGAAGTCCGGTATTTGGACAAGCATTTAACAAAAAATGTAACTTAACTCCTTGGTTGGAGGTATCCTATCATTTGACACTTGCGTGACTAAGTTAACTTCTACTCTTTTAAGCGCTACAGTTCACTCGACAGTGTTGTTACTCCTACGCGATAGATTGTTGACCTTCTCTCCAACTTTTTAGTTCTCGTTTTTGGCCGCGTCCACATAGGGGCTGTCGAGTTGACCTACAAATCAACTTTCTGTCAAAGGTTGTGCGAGCTCAAAGCAGCAAGATTCATCGGCACCCCACTTCGTCCTCGCATCCTACACTCGAACCGTACACGAGTTGCGCTGCAAATTTTTCGGTCAAGTGACGGTTGAAAACCTTCGAAAGGTTTTCAACCGTTCTTGAAAACCTTTCGAAGAAAGAAAGTGAGAAAAAGCAAGCAAAAAACGACTGGATCTCAAGGAGGCGTTCATTGAAACATCTACCTTTGCCCTACGTTGTGCATTGTTTCACCCGAGTGCTTCGCCTTTTAAACTTGTGCTGTGTTCCAAAAGGGCTCGGCAAACACGGCAAAAGCGGCATGTGCTCCGGCTTTTCGTGGCCGTTCCTAGAGCCACTGAATGTTCCCAAGTAGAGCCACTAACTTAGCTACAGTGTAGTTACGATTCAAGAATGCGACTTTTTGAGCTCTAGGTATGGTGCCGTCTTGCTTTGTCGCGGACTGTTTTAACATTTTTGGAGGACAGAAAAGCATTCCGCGTGATTTCAGATGAAGCCTCAGTTGCCTTTCAACGATTTTAAGCAACCGAGACGGCTGGATTGCATTACTCTGAAGTTCAGCTTATTCAACGGCTCTTTTCTCAGGGTACCACCAAAAGTCCTAAGTTTGGTTTCGGAACCGCGACAAAGCTCTGAAATATTGAAAATCCAACACCAGCCATTACGCTAGTTGGTTGCCTTCTCATGCTTTCATATCCTGCAAATATTTCAAAGTGCCCTCTTTCGTGGTATTCCCAGGGAAGTTAAAATGGCCGACAAATGGGAAAGGATGCGACACGCAGCAACACGGGGTAATTCATTTGCATAATTTCTCGGGCACGTACTCCCATCTCAAAAAGTTGGATCATTGAGAAAGATGCATCGCTTGAAGTGTACGCCGGTTACCAGGCGCTAGGCGCAAGTATCGACGGTCTGTTGTGGCCAGTTTTGGGTTTGCTTTGGACACATCTTTCTTTTAGTTTGTTCCTCTCTTGCACTTTGAATGTGTTCTAAACACAGTCGGGCTCAGATTGAGCGCCTGTGTGACGTGGCGAGGCTCAACAAGGAATGTGCCAGTGCGTATTGTGACCCGTGGCATCGTATGACCATTGTGGCTTGCGTGAAGGGACGGCCGTCGCTGTTAAAGGCCAAACGCGTGGCACGTGCAGAAGAACAGCGGGGACTAGAAGTGCACCCTTCATCCTGCGAGGAAAAAGTGCTGCCATATGTTGGTTGATAAGAAAAACAAAATGTTTACTGGTGATGTAATTTGAGACACTACCCTAGATTTGAAGACTCGCAATTGCTGACGTGTACAGCAAGGGACGCTATGTTTTTTGTGCACCGACGTCTCCTGCTACTACCAATGTGGTGCCAGTTCTGAGATGATCTTGCTTAGGATCTGCAGCTCAAATATATGGTGCGACACAATACCTTGTCACTCGGTGTCTGTACCTTTGTGCCAGTCGCCAAGTATTGGCTTGTTGATTGTTGCTTCGGCATTCCCACTGTAAAAATCTACGATTGGAGGCACTTTGCTGCAAATATTGGCAACTTTCTCAAGTTTGGAACGAGTTGTGTTCTGCAAAACACAGCTTGTAAGTTTTTTTTAGATTTTGATGTCCGGCGGTGTAATCGAGAATCTTGCAGGAGGGAAACTTTTCGCCGTTACTCCGATTCAGGCAGCTCGTTGGATGAATGAACTTGCTCGTTGCCTGTTTTGCCGAACGACACTTCGTCAAGATTGCTTCGTCCGTTTGAGACGTTTGGGTGACAGAGAGTGCATGCACTTTTAGAATGTGCAGTAGGTTTAGTGGAACGTGCCATCTTCGAGCGAAGTAAGCACCCTCCTGGTTTCCCAATGCCCAGTTAATTTCTGCAGCCATTGGTTGGGGGCAGTCGTGTCACTGGATCATTATTCCGGCAGATTGTCCACAACGCGAGCGTCAATACAACTTCGCTGCAACCGACGACGACATTTCATTCGACGAAACTTGGATCGTGAAACATCCGCCGACGACAGTGTGCACGGACATAATGGTGCACAGCCGTAACCGTAGCAAGCCCTCCTCTAGATATAGAGGTACCTTCTGGACCCGAGTCCAGGCTGGCAGAATAGGAAAGCTTGCGCATGTATCTAACCGGCATGTAGGTTAACGCAGTTTGTTTCCCGCCCATGTGGGGAACAGAATTGCGGCCATCATATGCACAGCGCGACAGTCTTACTCCATCGAAGTGTAGAGAAGGAAGTCTCCTTATCAATTGAGCACCCAAGCCACAGATGGAGCTGTGAATGAGGCCTTTTCCTTGTTCTTAACTTGTGTGAAGAAGTGTCCTCTCATCATTTTTACGTATCAGTGCTTAGCCGGAAACGTCTGGTGTATTGCGGGGTACGGCATTTTTGCCTTTCCGTTTTTCTCGGGTATAGAGGGGGGGGGGGGGTGTAAGGGGCAGCAGGATGCCGCGGCACCCTCTTCTTGTCGGAAAGGGAAGTGCCGACAAACCACTTTTCGTGCTAGATTTTACACCAGGCTTTGCTCGGCTCATGTATAATCTCGGATACGAAGAGCAGCGGTATCGAGTGTAGTTGCGCTGCAAACTTTGGGGACGGGTAGTCTTTTTCGCGTTCCTGTCTCATACACTCGAGTTTTTTTTCCCCCTGAGGCAACTGGAAACGATTTCGAGTCGTACATTCTTATACTGCCCAGTGAAGTCCGCGTGCCACATAGCGGGTAGCATAATTGATTGCTCCATTTCCAGTCCTTCGTCAAATACTATCAACCATTCTTTGCCTCATGAGCGCTGTAAAAGAGATTGTGCCATGCTGAACAGGCGAGCACTGCTGCGACGCTTTATCTAACGACCCCACGGTCCTTGTAGGTCATTTCTACGAGTGTCTCGTAACAAATCGTTTCAGCCCTCGAAATGTTTTTTTTTTTCTTTTTTTATGTCGGTGCCAAATTGTACGAGTTCGGTAATCATTGAGGGTAGATGCAATGTTGCTAAGGGATTAAAGAAGTTTCGCACCTGTAGCCTTGGCTCATGCATTGCATTCTCTTGTTAGTAACCACTCTGGCATCTGACTCAGGCTGTGGCTTTGGAGGAGACCATCTGCGTGCGAAAAAAAGCTGTCTCGTCACTCCAAAATAAAGACCAATATTTGCGAAGGAACTGGTTGTCTTTGTTTCCGTTTTAGTGACCAGAGCGCTTCAGTGTTGCTAAGCTGGTGGCCCTCCCAGAGGGGGCGACCCGGTTGCCTGCTAGCTGAGCCACCATCTTGCCTCCCACCCTGTGCAGCTGTTACTGAGCAATACCACTTGTCAAAATTTTGCAGGGTACCTTTAAAAAGGGGCAGCGTTGCACATTCCACCAAGTATGCTTTTGTTTTCGGTACTGGTCATGAAGCAGGGGCAGAATACAGTCGAGCCTGGTTATATCACACCCGGGTATTTCGAATTATTGTTTATATCGAACAGTCCAAACATCCCCTTGAAAATCGCATGTAATAGTATAGGAGCGTTGTTTTTCTGTATCGAACTCCCATGGCAGGGACACTCGATATAGCGAACTAGCAAACGAAGCACGGGCGCCGGTCGCTTCTCCTGCGGTCCAATTGCGCCGGCGGCGAGTACATAGCTTGCGTAGCGGGGCTGGCAAACCGCCAAACCAGCATACGCGCACGGGGATACGCAGCAAAAGAGCAGTTAAAAAGAAAAAAAGTGGAGGATTGCAAAAGCAAGGGGAAGGGTACGCGCCCGCGTAGGGAGCGCTGGGAGTGCCCGCTGTTGGAAGTGGACCGGTAGCGTGCGCTTTCCCCAAACACCGCTGTCGCTGCGTTCGGGGAAAGAAAAAAAAAACTGTTTTTGCTAAGTTGAGTGTGTCGACAGCAACGGTTGAGCAATCGCACTTTAAACCCCTTATCTTTGTTTACCTTTTTTCTTTCGTCGTTTTTGTTTGCCCGTTTTTTTTTTGCGCCCTTTTTTTTTTTTTTTGCTGCTTGGATTTTGAGTTTTTTTTTTTTGTTGCTTAACTTTATTTTATGGATCGGTTTTTTTTTGTTTTATGCGGCTCGCTTTCTCCGGTCTTACATTTTTTTTAAAAATTATTTTCGTGTTTTGTTGCCCGCGTTGTGTGGAAATCGTGGCTAGGCGTAAACGATCGCAAACACTGTCGCGTAAACGCGGTGGTGTTTATGATTTTCACCAAGGAAGATCTATTGGTAAAGTTCTGTTTGTCGCGGCCTTCGGTATTAGCAGAGACGTCCAAAAATTTCAACTAGAGCTTAAGTTAACATATTTTTGTATATCAAATTATTGATATATCGAACTATTTTACAATCCCTTTTGAATTCGATATATCCGGGTTCGACTGTAGTGGCCGCAGTCAGGAAAAGGTGTCACTTGCCCTGCCAAAGGATGTCGCCATTCTAGCCAGGTGCAGCCAGCAAGCAATGTTGTGGCACTCAACTAGTGACTGGAGCTGGTATGTTTAAAAATGTCTGCTCTATCGGAAAGACTGCCATGTACAGTCTCGGACGAAAAAAATGTAGACGATGGAGCGACAGGTTTTCGCACTTGCCACACCACTCGACGGTTGTTAGCGGAAGAGTGGCAACGGTGCCACGTGGCCTGCCCTTCAAGTAGATATAGAATTCGCACCAATTTGTTTCCATTTACCACGGTATGAAGCTCTAACTGCCGAACCTTTGCCGTGTTGGCCATGTGGCACACACATTTCAAATACGCTGCGACGACACACAAAAATATTAGGTTATCGGTCGCACACTTCTGCGCAGATCATGATGTTATTGTAATATTGATCCAAGGCCAACCTCGGTTTATTTTATGTGCCATCACTGAGAATTTCAAAGGTGCTTGCTGCATTGTCAACTTTCCGATTGGCGCCGAATGCGGCGGCGCAAAGCGGCGCCAATTTCTTCTGTCGAAAGGGCTTGCCACTTGCCATTACCCCTACTCTCGAAATGCTTCGCAGGCTGCGCAAGAGCTTCTGCTGACGACCATTGAATGACACGAAGAAGGCGGGAAGCTGATTTTGAAACGCGTAAAAATCGGGAACAGGCATAAAAAAATGCAGGGCATGCCGGCACCCGGATTTTAAAATATCCCGTTGAGTGCCATGTCGGTGTCGCCAGACTCAATGGGCTTCATCGAGAGTTCAAGGGCCTGTTCACACCACTTTCCCAAACCCAGCAACTTCTGTTTGACAAGTGAATGCGATCAACAGAGCAAAAGTTCCTAGAACCCCGTTGGTATGTTTGTCGAGGAACAAAAATAAAGACATACAATCCCTGAAAGGTTCTGGGGGCAGGTACATGAGACACAAACAAACTCTTGCAGCTATTTATTCTTCATGGACCTTCCCGGCTAAGGTTCTTTTTAATATTTTATGGGATTTGGAGCCGATTTACGATTGTAACCAAGGAATGGTTTTCGGCCCAGCATGCTAAAACCGGATGTTTCTTTGTGACAGACGCTGCTCCTAGCACGCTCGTGCGAAGTGGTGAAGCTCAAACAAGCCGACGTGCCGCGCATGGGCCACGTCGGGTGGCAGTTTTCGGAAATAACGGGGAAGGCAAAAGCAACAAACTGAAAATTGACAGATACTCGTATGAATGTTTGACGGGAGTGGCAACGTGATCGTAATGGTTGGAAAAACATATCGGCGATGTTTTACTTAAAAACATTTTGAAGCCTCTGGGCAGCTAGGCAGTTGTTTTCAAGCATGAAGGGAGACATAGTCCAACGTAGATAACCCAAGAAAGCACTTTAATTCACCTTCCCCAATACAGATGTGGAGCTCGCAGGCATGCTACCAGAGGCACTCGGAACCGCGCCAGCTTAACTCTGCCGCTCCCTCCAGAGTTGTAGAGCAACACATAGACATCCTTCACCTCAAGACATCTGCCCACATTTTTACAAAAACAATGTTAAACCTCTTGCCTAAAAGTAGCAAGACTAGTATATAACAACCATGCCTAGGTCCTGTTTACAGTGAAGCATACTAACATGGTAGAGAAAAAACAAAATACTATAATATCTTGCAAATCTGCAGAAAAAAGAAAGACATAGTTTTTTAACTTCACCCCAAAAAGTTTGTGCAACGTTCGATGCCCCACTCCGGCTATCCTTAAAACGCACAGACCAGATTGTCCACGACCCGAAAGATTTTTTGTTTTACAAAGGTTGAAGTGTAAAAAACGAACAATTACAATATCAAAAATCAGCTTCAGGCACAACAGCAAAGGACAACATCGACACCATTAGAAAAGCCAGCCTAATTTCATTTCACAGTGGCAAACATGGAGTCGCACCCACCCAAAATGCCTTTTTGTTCTTGGAGTCCAGTCGAGAAATAGAAAAATACATTTCCACAAGAATAATGTTTCAAAAACTCGCAACGTTGCCCTTCTCGTCACAAAATTTTGCGTCCACCCCGAGGGGTACAAAAATTTGAAAAAGAGTAAGCAGCCCTAGAGGCTTGTCAGAGTTCTCGCCTAATGCTGCACAATATGTTGCACGCTTCTTGCTATAAGTGTCCACTCTGTTGCACGCTAGGAACGGAACGCTGTGGGACTTGGCTTTCACTACCAAGCTTTCGGTGAACTGCAAAGGTCGGGTCCACGGTAAACAGAAAATGCACGCTCGGTAATGGGAGCCCTCTTTCTTCCCTGGCAAATCACACACACCCACACTTTGAAGCAGTTTGGCATTGGAGAAACAATCCGAACAGAAAACACACTTTTCATACTTTGGAATGCCTCCCGGAATTGTGCAGTGTTCACTAACCGAAATAAGCAAAGTTCTTGAAGTGTAGCAAAAGGTTAAACCCGCAACACCTTCTCTCAACACAGCTGTTATAATGGTGTTGGGAAGTTGGTTACCGTTGCTTACAGATGGTTCCAGAGAATACCTCTCATCATTACTCGCACATCTTGAAAAGAGCAATTTTCTATCCAAAATAAAGTACAATTATGTCGGGCAAGGGGGTGGGCATTTTATTCGTATACAGCATACTTTACCCATTTTTACATTCGAGAAAGCAGACACGCAACGTCACTATGCATTCGCCGTAATCATTGAATAGACTATATTGTTTGAATCAATATTTGTAACTCATTAACAATAGATGACTACATAGGCTCAGTTTTATGGTCGTTGGTTATAATGTTGCCTTCAAAGGTTAAAAACTGCTGTGCACCGTACGTCAATAATTCCTACGCTTTCGTAGGCCACTTGACGGGCTAAAGTGTCGGTAACTAATGGAACCATCTACGGTAGCACTAGTCAACCAGTCAGTGAAGCAAGGTGTGGGGTAGTGTCCCCTAGCAAAAGAATATAAATAAAGTAGCACTTATTTTTCCGAAGCTCCAGATATTGTTTTCAGATTTGAATATGTTATCAACCCCAGCGAAATACATCTTGGGCCTGTAATCATAGCTCCCACCGTAACACAAGTGACCTTTGCAGTTTGTCCGTGCCACCGTGCATTTGCGAAACACACAAATGCGGTGGTTTCAGTTGTTTATCTATCGCATTAACACTATGCCAAATCTAGCCTCGGCTAGCACAAACATTCTGTTACGTGTGACAGAGCCAACACCTATCTAGCATTCCTCAACTTGAGGCCTTTACCCACGCTAACTTGATATGTCTATTTCTTTCCTTTTCCACAACACTGCAAATTCCTCCCTGGACAGAATCACCCTGTTCGGAACAGTGGTACTAATACCGAAGAGCCGTGGTAGCATTGACACCTCTTAAAGGGTATGAGTCTTTCAAAACTGTCAACGACGGCGAACACGCTCCCAATGACCTTAAACCAAACCTCGCAACTTCGGGGAAAAAAAAAAAGACTCGCTCGTCTGCAAAATTGTTTAGGACGTCCGAAATCACGTAGAAAATACATATGCAAAAGGTCTCACACGATCTACTATAACACACATCAGAATACCAGCTTCTGGATTAAAGACAAACCCTTTCACTGCCAAAAAGAAGTCCAGCTCATTCGACAACAAAGACACAAGTTTCTCAGAACAGCAAGCGCAAGGTCACAGTTTCCCATACTTCATTGCACCTACTAACTAAACTTCCCCTCTTCAGCACTGAACCAGCATTGTATAAACATTCACAACATCCAAGACCTTTTTGCTATTGGGGAGGATATCCAACTGTTGCGCTCCTAGTGGCTAAGTTGAGAACTAAACCCATTGGGACAACAAAAAATATCTGTCCATGTTCTTGATGCAGCACTCGGCTTAGCCAAGCTCTGCGTCGGCGTTCAGCTGGGGTCAGCGTTCGATCAGTCAAGCACCGACCGAACACAAGGCCCAGCCAAGTGCAGAAGCAGCACTCGCACAAAATCTGTGCCTTGTGCTCAACCGAGAAAGGCAGACGAAAAGAACCCAGTACACGGGCCCTGCATCTGTTAAACACCGAGCCCTGTAAGAAAACAAGCTAGACAAAGTGCCCCCTATAGATCTATTTCCCTGCCATTGCGAAAAGCAAGTCGTCTGCTTCTTGCGCAGGAGTTGTGGTAACGCCAGAACGATGCCACACTCCCATTGGCTTTGATTAAAAGGATTGTGGGTAGACCGAAACGCTAGATACCTAGAAACCAACCCACCATTTTTTTCAATCGACGTCGTTCTGACATCATCACAACTCTCGTGCAAGAAGCAGACGAACTTGCACTCCGCACAGCCCGACCACCTCGCCTTGCAACGCGAGGTTACGAGCGCGTGCTCGTAGCATCGGCGTTGCTGCAGTATGCAGTCCCTTTGTTAGAACAAAGTCTAATGTGCCCCTACACTTGAGCACAGTGGAGTCTCGTTTGATAACTACCAGTTCACTCAGGCTTGAAGCTTTCATTGACACTTTGAACAGAACGTCGGTGAACTCTTTGCGTGGTGAAAGGTTATAAATAGGGCTCCACGTTTTCGGTAAGTACCACAAACCCCGAGAACGAACTCCTCGAGCCCGTTTTATTGATGTCGGGTGAAATCCGAAAACCCCCAAATCGGAGCCGTCCTCGAATGAAAGAAAAAAAATAAACCCCAAGTTTCGAGGAAGCTATCTTTATCTACAGCTTTATTTTGTATTAATCAGGGGAATACGGCCTGCACCGTATTGTCTGCGAGGCCCCTTCTTCCTTCGTGCACCATGCCTATTGTCCCATTTCATTGTCTTATTGAAACAGCAGCTTTCTTCAGCGATTTGCGTCACACACATGTTCTCCGGAGGTTGGGGAAATCGCACGTCTGTTTTTCGTTTCATCAGCATGAGCTCCGATAAACATCAGTGCGTTTTGCCGAAAAAAACAAACAAAAAAACACAGAAAAACACGGAATTTATGGGGAATATAAAAAATGCCCCCCAAGAACACTTCGAATTCGAAGAAAAACGAACCCTGAAAACATGGAAACCCTAGTTATAAATGGAGAAGCATCCCAAGAAGTTGTAAACGACCGCGCCAGTTTCAGTCACACACAGAAATATGGATTTTACGTTGTCGTTTCGTTACTACAGCGTCGTCGAACGTCCCGAATGAAAGGACACTTTTGTAAAACCTCTTCCAACCGAGAGAAATCTGGAGCCTAAAAAAGTATTGTAGCAAAAAAAAAAAAGAAGAAGATTGTAAAGTGAAGATTTTACCATTCTAAACTTGTCACCAACAGAAATTTACTCTGGCGAGGATTCACCACGTAAATTCCTTGCCCAGAATCCGGCGAAATTATTTACCCTCGTGGAAGTGAAATGAAAGCCCACGAAATGTGGCGCCAAAAAAACATGCATGTTCACAAACTAAATGTGTTTCGCAAGAACCATGCGACATTTGTTTTCATAGCCTGTAATTACAATTTAAAAGCATGCTCTTACAACCGTTAGCAGCAAGGGGCAGCACTTAGCATTTTGAAATGCAGCTCACCAAGAGTTCAAACATCACCTCGATTGGGCTTGGGCAACAGGGCTTGGTGGATGGTAGCTAAGTATTGGGTTCTTTATGTTCCGCTAACCTGCTAGGCATACTTTGAATGACTTCCAGTTGGCTGGCAATCTTTCTTTTTAAAAATTTGGGAGAAAATCTATATGTTTATTAAAAAAAACTTTGTTCATCATTGTGAAAAAGAATAAGGAAAAACAACCCTGCTGATGTGCAATGAAGCTTGAACGGAACGAGGGTTCAAATATGTAAATTTAAGACATTTCTGCATACTCCTTGCATTTCCTTCTGCTGTTAATCGGGCAATCGCAATTAATTTTTCTGTGCCCAGTTATTATTGTGGCAATCTTCCTGGAGGCTTCTCTTAGCAACGAGACAAGGTTCTTGGGACCTAAAGGAAACCTCCTCACAGCTACAACACTTGGATATAGCAAACTCCCAACTTTGCAGGACGTCTAATGTTGTCTCAACTTGCTCTAATGGCACCTTCAGCCTTAGTGCTCTGAATAGACAAATCCGATACAAGAAGGCCTAAAACTCTCTCGGTATGACAACATTTTTGCGAGAGTTTGAATAAACTGGCATTTACATCTTTGTCAGTATTTGTATAATTCTTGACTTCTCGTCGCTACTACTGATTCCAAAGCCGTCAGGATTGTTTGAGGGATAATTACGGAGGGAGTGGGGTTGATAGAAGGGGAAGGGGAATTTTACTTCCTTTTCCCCACTAGAAACGTGTGAAGTGTCCAGGAAAGGAGGGAAGGGGAACACCCCCTCCCCTTTTCTGTTCTTATGCCACTGATTGATTTACTCAAGAGCCGACTATGAACTCTGTCAATACATATGCCAAAAAAAAGAAAAGAAAACGTGCAATAAAGCAACATGTTTTTGAATATTTCTCAGACACTAGCTATCATTTTGTCACAGTATGTGACACTTGTTGGTCGACAGCCTAGAAAACCAATCAGTAGGGAAGCGGTCAAAGTTTCAAGCCAGGAGGGGCCAAGCACAAAAAAAGGCTTTCCGGAATCACAAGGTAGAAACAGAGTAAAGGGGATGCGGCTTTCACAAAAAACTCATAGTATTAAAAATATAACTCTTGTACACGAGATCTTTCTTTATACACCCAAAATTCGAACTGCTTGCTGACCAACATTCACTTTGAAATATTCACCTTAAAGAGTGAAAGTGCTTCCCCAAGATATGCAAAAGAAGGCATGCGTTTCATCGCTTGCTTTAGACCTCCCACATTGTAACAAAACATTCAATAGTATTTTCCTCTCTTGCAGTCAGGCATCTTACACCCGCCACAAGTGTGAAATAAAGGTTGCCTCACCAAAATTTCATTGGTGGTCTACAAATGTATGTTTTGCTTTGTCAAAACTGCGTGACACAGAGCAAACGTGCTGTCAGGGCTTTCAGAAGACAGTTGTGTGGTAATGGTGCGTTAATGTCTAACACCAAATTTTACCACTTAGGTCGTTGTCTCACAGAAGCATGCTCCACTACACTAGTTGCTTATAATTGGAAATATTTCGAGCCTTTTATGTATGGAGCCCGCCATTCCCCATTCATAACTTTAAATTCAGACATATATAAGCAAGAGGACCAGTGAATAATGAGACAGATTAAATTTACAATAGAAAAGGAGGAATCTGCTCCAGGAGACTGAGCAAGGCGTTACAAATCCCACATCTTAGCCCAAATGCTGAAAGTGCCTAGTCATTTGCTGAGCTCCTCTGCAAACTGCAATGACTGGCCTCTCGTGCAAGTCGCAAAAAAGTGTATCTGTGGGCTCCGTTCATAAAGAAAAAAAGGTGTTTTTGAGTCACTACGGTGGTAGCTTTGATCACACTTTGGAAATCTGTGAACGCAGATGTGCAGTAAACGATTTAAATGATTTGATTATAAAATAGCAACCCTCAAGATTGCTTGTTTCTGTTAACTGTGTTGCAATCTGTGCCTGTGCGCCTTGACATCAATACTTAAAAAAATCTTGGGTTGGACAATTGCCCCACATACGACTTCAGTTTTGTCTGCAGCTCGGAGTAACACTGTATATATGTATGCGGGTTTCGCACTCAAAAACTGAACAAAGCTTTCCTTGAGAGTGGCGTTCACATTCAAATCTGAAGTTCCACGTGCCAAGAGTACAACAGGAAGCAAGAGAACTGAAATTGATATCTGATCGTTGAAAACCTCGATGCAACCCTTTGCACATTGTCTTATCCCCAGTGCCTTCTTCACATTGCAACAAATCGTTCGTAATGCTCTAAAAACTTGAAATTGTGATGTTAGCCAAAATGCGTCCAGCATGTGAAAGCCCCTCAAATCATGTTAACTTGCACATACCGGTCAAACGGCGAGACCTTGGGACACGTAAACTTGCACATACTCGTCGGACGGCGAGACCTCAGAATCGTGTAAGCTTGCACGTCCTCGCCAAACGGTCAGACCTCAGAATTGCGTAAACTTCCCGAGATAAAGCCATCGAACAAAGGGCCTGGATGTATCTTCCTTCACAGGACGCAGAAGGGACGTGGTGGGCCGGTTGCGCACGTTTCCGGTGGCCCGCGCTTCTGCCGAAAGAGCCTCGGAACTGCTTCTACGAGGCGCTTTCGACGCGAATCCTCTCGAGGCGAGACGGCCGAGAGGAGTGTCGCTCTGCGGTTGGCACTAACTTCTTGCGAGGAAGCAATCAGTTGTGGGAGGTGAACCGGACGAGGTGCAGCAGACGAGAGAGGAGGCCCATGGCGAGCCTCCAGAGCTGCTGCGCCAGCTTGGAGCGCCCCAGCAGGATTCTCAGGAAGCCGAGAAACAGCAGGGTCTTCAGGGCCACGCGTACCGCCTGCTGCCTGCGAGTTGGCCGTCCACCGATCGACGCAAGCATTCGACGAGGAGTGGTCGACCGCCATGGAGGTGGGAAGCTTCAGGAGGCGACATGACGCCACCAGAGGTGACGCCAGAAGTGTGGAGGGACACATCCCCAACGATGGAAGAAACCAAGAGACGCTATTGGACGAAAAAGAGAGATGACTAGGCGCCAACAACCGTTTTGGTCACCCTCGGGGCGTTGCTTGGTTTTGGTCATCGTTGGGGTGTGTCTTTCCAGACTTCTGGCTTCAACTCTGGTGGCGTCATGTCGCTTCCAGAAGTTTCCTACCTCCGTGTCGACCACGCACGGAACAAGGCGCCTACTAGATGTTCGGAAAGCTTGTTGGCGCAAGTGCGGAGCAAAACAATATTGCTAGTGCTTCCCTACACTGCATCTAAAGATCGGCAAGTCACACTTTGCATTCACCTATCACCAATTGCGTCTGCTCTGCACTAGGCAGCAAAATGGCGGCACCCGCCAGGGAATTGGTGAATGAAGTGTCGATACTCTAAGCTCATTTCGTCGCTCTAGTGCCTACCCCCTGGAGACTCATTGCTCGTATTAAGGGGGAACCTATGGTCTCGGAGCTCCGCTTCTTGTTTTACGACCGAACCTAACGAAGCTGTACAACTAAGTTCAGCTTTCTGCATTAATTTCGAGTATATGGTCATTTTTATACAGCAGAGCTGTTAAGGGCTAGGTTCCCCAGGATCGTGTCCGTGTATGTCGACACAAACCTACCTGGACAGCTACTGCCATCTATAAGCGACGGCGGCAAGCACACAACTAGTATGGTTTCCGCCGTCGCTCGTAGATGGCGCACACCTTTCCAGCTATCATAGAAGAATAGATAGTTTTGCAGCGCGTTGGTGAAACTTCATTGTAGGAAGCAGCACGAAAAACAGGCGACGACGGGGAAGAAGCACACAGTGTGCTTCTTCGTTGTCATAAAGCACACAGATTTTTTAAAGGGCAACTCCGCTCAATTCCAAAAAATTTAGGCTTACATGGGATTCCATTTCACAGAGCACTACTAAACAGCTCTAAGTCTTCGGATTCGCGAAATGTGGAATAGTATTTGTGTAATCTTAATTTAAACATCAGCTGATACCGAAACCGAAACTTCGGTTGCGTCAGGCAACATTGGTCTCGAGTCGTCAGAGTCATGGCCATGTCACGTCAAACCACGTGGTCTTGTGACGTTCGTGGGGGCGACGTATAGGACACGCGACGCGGGTATGCGAGCAGGTCGCTTCGCATGGCGTGGACGGTGATGGCCCGGGGGAGAGGGGGAAGGGAAGAAGACGAAAGAGGAGGGGGGAGCGGAGAAACAGACCAATAAGCGCGCAGGGCAGCGCAAACTAGTGCATCCGCGTTACGGTGATCACATGGACGCCGTTCAGCCAACACCGGGAGGAGAAACTTATGACGTCATTGTTCAATTTTGCTCTGAGAAGTAAAAACAAACAAAACGTGAGAATGATGTTGTCATGCCTCTGACGTAGTGGTTTAACGTTGACCGCTCCAACTCCGTCGCCTTGACTGCTCTGACGATTGCGCCTCACGTCGCACACTACAGTTGGCAGACTTCGGCGACTTGGCTCATTTGAAAGTTTGCTGGCCAGTTTATTAAACATATAGACGGAATTAGATCGTAATATTTGACATGGGTCATCCTATATGATACTGAAGAGGGCTACATAGTTTTTTAAATATCAAAAATGAAGCGGAGTTGCCCTTCATATTAATGAATTAGTTCTCACAATTGCCTACCACCCCTAGTGCTGACATAGGAAGAAGACCATTCGGCAAGAAGTTAATTTTTTAACACCTGGCTAGACACTGCACGGTATAAGGTATTGAATGTTGAAAGACTGTTGTATTAGCTATTCGCAACTCCAGCGCGCCGCTCGCCCTCCCGCGGACGAACGGAGAACCAGAGGACCGGGGACGGCAGCGGCGGCGCAGAAACGGTGGCAGGGACTGTCGGCCTTCGTGCGTGAAGCCGTTTTAACGAACAAAAGTGAGCGCGTTAAAAAAGGAATTCTTGTGCTTCGCCTTGAAACAGCGCTGCACGAAGGACTGGGATGTCTAATTCCCTTAGGGACTTTTCGTGTATCGTATACGCTGCGGATTTCTGGTCTTGTGCATGGCCGCCAGCTCAATCTGTGCTCAACGTGACGGAAGACGCTCCCGCTAATGATGAAGAACTCTATAGTATGGTCTACGAAAAGTCTATTGTTTGCCATAAGTAGGAGAAAACTCGTCGCGCAACGGTATGTCGAGCAACACAAATCCGGAATGGGTTTGTGTTTTAAGGCCGTTACAAGGAACATGACTATTTATTCCAAGCACTTTAAAAAGGCAGAATACTCGTACTTGCTTTCAGGTAACTACAAAGCAAATAAAGAAATGCTCGAAGCATTTTAAGTGCATCTGTGTTAACCAGCCATTCGTGACGAGAGCTTAGGACGCTCAGTTTTGGCCAAAGGGACTGCAATGTTGCCAATAACACGGTACAAAAAATGTACGGTAAATTAAAATATTTATTTGTAACAGAGCAATGAATAAAACCCCTAAACACGCCGATTATGTTAATAGGCAGTATTCGCTTAGTGTACGACACCCCTAAACTTCAGTTGGACGTACAGCGCACTGACGTTCAACCGGCGCTACCAACTTTCACGAGCGGCTTGAAAGCCGAGTTGTGCAACTTATTAAAATAGCTTAAGTAAGTGTAAATGACTGCAAAAAAAAAAGTAATTGTTTTTTTTTTTCTTACTGCAGAACCTCGGTGTTTCTTTTTTTTTTTTTTCGGTACTCTTTGATGCATACTTTGGCTGTTTAATATCTAAATGCGCCGTCGTCAAGCCTCTCATCCTGGAGAATCTATCCCCGTCTCTTCCGCCATCTTGGAACTACCGCCCCGCCACCTATAGGGCGTTGGAGTTGCGAATAGCTACATATTAAAGTTCAGCATTCAATGTGTCATTACAAGTAACAAAGAAATTGAGTCATTAAAAAAATTCCTAGACCCATACCCAACCACACATCGTAGTCCACAAGTACCCGATCACAGTCCCACCAGCACACATTCACCACTGCGACGAGCCAGAAAACTTTCGTTCGAAATGCACAAGCATGACAAGCAACGTGCTCCAGGACTCTCCTGGAATGACGCACGTTTGTGACCTGGATAAGTGCCTACCTCTTGAGTCGTTTGCGTGACTCTGGCAGGGTGGAAGGGTCTTGCTTGAAGAGGTAGCGCCGCACCCCCAGCAGGTAGTTCTCCCAGTAGCTCTCCCAGTCTATCTTGCGGATGTCAATGTCAAACGTCTGCGAGGGGTAAAAGGGAAACTAAATGCTCGGACATCAAGCTATTACGCGTCCAGTTAGCACTCCTTGATCCCTTCCATGTGCAGATACACTGGCAGGATTGTTATGTCGTTTGAGGGAACATGAAACGGCAGACAAAAGTCAGGAACCGGACAACACTGTGTCCCCCGGGTGATGTTTCAGGGTCTCGAAGGAGCTATTGGTTGCAGAGGTTCTCTCTAATGTGCTGCATTTATAAGAGAAACTTTTAGTGGTTTCGTATCTGTGTCTAGGATGTAACCTCAATGACATCATTGTGTCACGTGGTTAGGTGACATAGGGTCATGTGACCAGATGCTTTCTCTTGGTCATACGACGTTGCCCGACACCTGACACCATAATGTCACACGACACCGGGATGTCGGGTGACACCGCCTAGAACAATCCGAGGCACTTTGAGCACCTTTAAGATGTACCATAAAGTACCATACCAGAAGTACCATACCAGAAGTACCATAAAATCACGTGAGGACGCCCACCCAAAATAAAGAAAGAAATAGAGAACAACATGGGGTGGGCAATCTTAACAGATGAGACAGCAAAACTTTATAAAAATAATTTGCAGTTTGATATTTTAGACCCATGCTACGAATAAAAAATACAGGGTGTGGGATGGCCAAAAAAGCATGCTTTTCATGTAAGGCTCGTCAAATTACGAGGTGCTGGAGAAAACCAGCCTTCTGCGTCCCTATTTCAAACTCTCCTTGTTCACATTCCGCCCATCGAAAAGCGTCCGGAAAGCACCTCAGCACGCACTTCGTACCGCTGCGCCGCAGTGTTCTTGTGCAGCAAAAAGACCGTCTGCTTTCATCGCCGTCACCATGGCAACGAACGTCGAATGACCTTTACGGACGGCGCGTGTATCACTCGGGAGCGCGTTAACACGCTGCTTTGAGGCGACAGTCCGTGGCGGCTCATGACAAAACTATTAAACTTTGGCTAGCAAACTACGTTCGGAAAATCTGCGTTTGTTGCCATGGTGATAGCGATGAAAGCAAACTGCCTTTATGCTGTGGAAGAACACTGCAGCGCAGCGATACGCGGTGTGCGCCGAGGCCCTTCCCGCATGCTTTTCAATGCTTTTGAACACAAACAAAAAGAGTTAGAAATAAGGAATTAGTGCAGAAGGCTCATTTTCTCCAGTGCCTCATAATCTGACGAGCTTTACACGGAAAGCATGTCTGAAACTGGAGTTTGGAGATAGTTTTTTTACAACAACATGGGTCTAAAGTATCAATGTGCCAAAAAATTAATAATAACATTGAGGCACCCGCTACAAACCATGTGACACGGGAATTGATACCGCAGACTGCGGGCATGGCAAATTCGCATTTCACAGCGCAAAAAACGCGAGGGGAATTCACTACAAACTCCCGTGTCACAAGAAAGAATGCCGCGGACTGTGGAAGCAGCAGATTCTTTTTTTACTGTTTCGGTAAACACGAGGAAACCGACTACAAACTTAAAGGCCGACGTACACTTCGCGCTTTCCACTTTTGTGCGCCTCCTCCTTTCCTATATCCTCTCCACTTTATGCCTTGCCGTTACTTGGCTCCCCTCGCAGCTTAGGGGGAGGGGAGCGCCAAGAGGATTATCTTCCCTGAAGAAAACCGAGGTTGTACGTCGGCCTTTAAATGCCACGGGAACCGATATTGCGCGTGCAGATGGCTGACAAAAAATTTGGAAACTCGCTACAAACTGGGACGACACGAAAACTGGTATTGCGTGCGCGGATCGCAAAGACGTGAGAACCCGCAGCAAACTCGCTCATCATGCGTGTACCAGTACTGCAGGTCGTGCAGCTGATGCGACTTCCGTCGGACATTGCGGGGCGTGGTGTCCGAAATGACAGCAGCTCCCACTATGTTTCGGGAATCTGTGAATGTTTTGTGAATATGGGGAGTGGGTGACGTATCAGAATGTTTGTGTTAGGGATATTTAGCCAGAAAAACGGGACGAGCAATCTCCCGGGGGAGAGCGGCCTTATGGGATTTTATGGTACGCAGTTTCTGCTCATTTTTCACGTTTTGATACTCCTGTGGATAATGAACCTATTTTTCACTAGGAGCTTTTTACGTGGGCCACGTCTTGCACATGGGTTCAGACGGCCATTTACATGCAGGAAAACATATCGCTATATTTGAAAAATTAAACGCTCCCACACTCCGTTTCATCTTACAAAAGACGTGACGAGCCGCCGAGGCCGATTCAATGCCGCGCGAACCTGATGTGATGTTCGGAGGGTGGGGGGAGGCACAATGAGGTGCGGGAGAGATAGTCACGGGATACATTTACAGCATTGAATAGACCCTTTTCAAAAGCCCATCAAGCAACATTGGTGGTCGTCACTGTTCGAGCACAAAGCTTGCGATCAGATCAGAGTGCTCGCTGAACGCCAAAGCAGCTCTCACGTCCAATATATGCTCAAAGTATGGGCTCAAACAATGGCCGACTCGGACGGTTGACGTAGCGGCCACTAGACGGCGCACACTTTTGGAGAGGGTCTGTCGGCCGGAAGGGTGAGTAGCATCCGCCGCAGTCCACCGAAAAATGAAATGGAGGGCCATTGAACGGTGATGCAAGGCATGCCAGAACCGAGATCCAATAAGCAGACTGGGAAACTCTGCAGCTCACCTGTCGGTCGAAGGGAGAGAGCCTGTCGTGAAGCAGGATCATGTTGTTGGAGGAGAACTCCCAGGTCTGAGTGGTGAAGAAGCGCACCGCCTCCATGGCACTTTTGGACTGCTCCAGGAAGCGGACCATCCTGGTACACAGAAGCATCCAGAGTGTCGTCCGCAAGCGTCCATACTGTGTTTCGCCGTAACTTGGAAAAGTGCCAACGCTACAGCCCGCTTGAGCCAATCGAAGGAATGCAGGCACGTAACGTCCCTTGCCAAAGGTAGGGGGGCGAGAGTGCAACTAGCGGTTGGCAGAGTATTGTTGCGTACCTCGCCCCGACGCGCTGCCTGGCTCGCTTAGAGTGTAGCTCTCGCCGTTTGCCAAGTTACGGGGAGACGTGCTGTAGCGAAGGGGTTCTATGCTCGGTGTCAACTAGTCTGTGTCACGTTGTCGAGCAGAGTGTGGCTTACTTCGTCGAAACTAGCCGTGCGAGCTCGTGCAAATGAGACGCAAGACGAAGCCACGTGCTCATGCGGAAGAGCGGGGCTGCAGCAGTGTGAAAGCCACTCTAGACTCAACATTGTAGTACAGAATAGTTGACACCCAGTATAGATTTTGCCTGTCGGCAAAATCTATACTTCCTCTCTCTGTCTCCCCACAGCGGGCTCAAACTTTATATATTAACTTTATATATAAAACCTTATTGTCGTGTAAAGCTTTCAGCATGTTGCTCGTTCATGTCAATTGTTTATGGCGCTCATTCCTGGTGCTCATAAAAACAACTCATAAAACACACTCAGCACTAAAAAAAATGTGTGGCTAATTGCTGGGCACATGTGTTGCATATGTGAAATGTTCTTGCATCACAAACGTTTCGCGATACTCAGAGTTTCCAGACGCCTACCTTCACGGTGCTCTTCATCGCACAGTTTAACGCGTACCGTGTGTGCTCTTGATACCAAAAAGTTCCGAAAGAATGCTTACCCAAAATTAAGCGATAAATGATGAAAAAGGGCAATATTTTATAAAAAGAAAAATTGGTGATAAGCACAAATGGGTGGGGAGGGGCAACTACAAACTACTAAGTGAAACGAGAACTGATACCACAGATCGCAGACACAGCAAATTTGCGTTTTATGGCGCGATAAGTATGTGGGAATTCCTTACGAACTCCGTAGTCACGGGGTCGGATACTATGAAATGTGGACGCAGCACGTTTGCGCTTCACAGCGCGATAAACGCCCGAGAACGTGCTACAAACCCAGGTGTCGCGGGAACCGATACCACGTGCGCAGATCGCAGAAAAAATTGCACGAGCCCACTGCAAACTCGCGTGTCACGGGAACAGATACCGCAGATTGCGGACGCAGCAGATTCGCGTTTCATGGTGCAATAAATGCAAGAAAACCTGTGGCCAACGTGCATGCCACGCATACCGATACCTGCAGATGATGTGATTTCAGTCAGATATCGTGTGATTAATATATGGCGGGAATCGGGGGGTAAGCAATGTTTCAGAATTTTGATGTTATGGAGCCCAAAAAAACAGGATGGGCGATCTCTCAGGGGCAGGCATTCTCTCGGATCTCTACGGTAATTGTTTCCAGAACAGTGGTCAGCAACATTTTGCTGCAGCAGGCAAGGCCAGCCGGAGGGAAAGGCAACTTATTGAAATGGAAGATTAAAAAGAAACTGTCACATACTAAAAGTGATATGCAAAGATGTTATCTTGATTCAGGCACACATAACATTAAAATTGCTGGAATCCCCTCTCAGTAAGATGTTGGGTGTTCAATATAGCTTGTCAAGATGCAGACATTCACGTCTAAACTCTTAACCAAGAGTCCTAAAACATTAGGGGGGTGCTCATCTGTCACTCTCAAGGACCACGTTTGACTTCACAGACTTCATCCTGTAAAAGTATGTTCGCATATATATATATGGCTGTAGCGGACACTTCGATCAAGGCCGCTGCAAGATTTCATAGATTTGAAAACTTTATTCAGGGAGGCCAGCGCAAAACTTAATGAAGTCTTTCGCTACAAATGCATTTTTCAGCTTATTGCTGTCTTACTGCTATCTCTTGTTCAGAGTTAATCCGGCTGGTAATACCAGGTTAGCAACCAAACATACCTCTTGTACTTGTGTACAGGGGAGGGGGGCGGGGGGTTTGGTGGCGTGCCCGGGGCCGTATAATATTGCTTCGCAGGACACTTTGCGAACCCTTTTCTTGAATGAAGTGATACTACCGCTAAACAGCTGATAAACCTGGCAGGCTTCCAGAGCCTTCCACATTCACAAGCTCCTCTCCCTCAGTGCGCACTGGTGTTCTGAGCTCCTCCTCACCTACCCCTCTGGTCACATGACCTTTCCGTTAACCAATCAGCGTCGAGCACCTCACTCTCCCACCCGTCAACCAATCGGTGTTGAGCGTCGCGGCCACGCTTTTGACCGAGCTTCACTTTTGGATTTCATGAAATGCCGAACACCTGGCCAAAGAACGCTTCACGTTAGAAGTTCCGTCTCGACCCCCAACACCCACCTGGGCCTGCGGCCGGTGCAGCGCCTAACGAAGTCCACGGCCACGGCTGGCAGGTAGTTTCGGAAGAAGACCATGACGCTCTGGTAGACCTGGCTGGAGGTCATGTCCACCCGGGGGTAGCCGAAGGTGTCCTGCAGCGGGTACAGGGGCAGGAACTTGGCCAGGTAGCGCCGGATGTCTCCCACCACCAGCCGGTTGAGCGACCCCGTCACGCAGTTGTACACCGCCGGCTGCTGCTGCTCAGAAGGGGGTTCCGACTGGAGCCGCTCGGACGCCTCCTCGCCCGTCTGCTGCTGCCGCTGCTGTTGCTCCGCCCTAGGAGGGGAAGTGCGGGCAGCGTGAAGGCGACGCGGGCCTTCAAAGGGACTGTTAATCTTCGACCGCCTGCCTCGTAGGTTTAAAGCAATATTCAGCAAGCAGGATTCTACGAAACATGCTGTCCAATAATAGAAAAACTTCAATGGCTACAGGATAGGGAAGGGAAGCCATAAATGGAATTGGATGTATACTGCCACGTGCGTGGCGGAATTGGCGACGCATGCGACTGCCACGCGGAGGGAACAGGGTTTGAACACCGCTCGACCCGGTTTTTTCTTTTATAATTATGTACTCCTTTGAAACGTTTCAGCTCATTCTCCGTCGTCATCGTGTGTTCTGGTTTGGAACATTCCATAACTAACCAGAACTAACCAAAGCGGTAAATGGCTGCTCTGGACCAGTCGCCCTTCCATCCTAGGCGTAAGATGCCGGTACCTTTCTCCTTGAGTTTGTAGTCGCAAGTTTCCCCCCTCAAACACTAATTTTTAGTTTTACATTCGTCTGCCACTTTCCATCCGTGACTCGTGCTTAGCGAAAATTCCCGGGGCTGGATAATAAAATTTCTTGCTGGCGTGGGGACAACCTTAGACCACACTTGGTGGCAACTGTTTTCTGCTAAGCTGCCGAGGCTTTGTCTCGCCTCGGTCGTGTAGTGCTCACTGGATGGCCAAGATCACTGCGAAGTAGCAATAAAAAAACTCATAATCATTCTTACCTTCAAATTTAATCATTGCGGATTTAAGTGTTGAACTTAAAAGCATTGGCTAGGTGGCACAAGCCGCCACCCGATTAAAAGCGTTCGGCCGTATCCATCTATGCAATACTAAATAGAAGACGGGCCTGCACATCGAGTCATCGTATATAGAGCCCCGAGCCGCCGTGAGTGGAAAACGCGTTGAAACTTGATGAGACCGGCACAAACTAGCAGACATGGGCGTCTCGGCATTGTCGTCTGCTAGCTTTGCGTTTGTTGCGAGATGCTGAAAGACGCGCTGGCAGCAACGGAGGAGCATCTCCGAGTTCGCCGCGGGGAGAACTGCAAGGTGCGTGCTCGTGAGAATGGAGCCAATTGAGACTTCGCCGTCGAGACCCCACAGAGAGTGAACGCGACGTCGAAGCCCAACGACTTCACAGTGACATGTCACGGCTGTCGCTGCGACTCCACTGTGGAATAACGCAGGACTGCCGATTTCTTCCATCTCTAGCTCCAATGTGAACGCGTGCTTCTGTCGTCTCAATTCCTCTAGTTGCTTTTCATGTGCATATGAGGTTTTAACCGTGCACCGCCCGGGGCGCTCTCGACGTGGCGAGCTGAGAGTAGCAGCCGACGCAAAAGGGTGCGTGTGTTAGATAGGACGGCTCATACGTTTTGCTCACCTTTAAAGGTTTAAACTTTCTCGTCCCAGATAGGCCTCCAAGTCTAAAGTATGGCCGAACCTCACTGACACGTTTTTCGGGGGATTGGGGAAATAAAACATATGATCTGGGAAAATGTAAGAAACAAGAATGTTGGGGGTGAGGCCAGAAATGAGGCAGATGGCCAACTGCCACGGAACAATTTATATTACGCGAGCATTCGTAGGTGTGAGCTCAAAATGGTTCAGAAGAAGTTTGTAAACATTCGTCGGCGTGAACTCTAATACATTCAAAAAAGCTAGTGAGTTCCACCTCGTGCTTTGGGTGAGTAAAACGTGGGCGAACAACGGAGTCCTGGGCTTGTGGAGGAGCGTTTGCCAACGTCCTCGTCAGTTTGTCTCCACACAACCAGTACATCAAAGCCCCAAAAGAGGTTTCGCTGGATGACGTGCTGTAGAACATGTGCGGGAGAAATTGTGGCGTGCTAGACAAATTTTGAGAGCAGCTTCTTTGCACGGACCCGGAGGAGTACCAGAACTTGCATCGCGTCAGACGGGCAAACTTTTTGCAGCTTTTCTAAACAAAGACAAAACAAAGCACAATGATGCACCAACTTCCTGTTGCTCGTTAAAAAAAAACAATAATTGTTAGATTAGTTTTTGAAATAAAATCAGCAAGTGAAAAGGTGCTTGGCTTTTTTCGGTTTGCACTTTTCACAAATTTTTTATGAGGGTTGACTCGAAAAACGATTTGTCAGGCAACGACACACCTTTTTTTTTTTCTTTCTTTAACAAGGAAAACAGATGGAGCATTGTTTCCTTTTGCCCGTTCCGTCCAGTCGCTGGTTTGTTTTGTCGAGCAATTTTTGGTTCCACACGTGAATAAAGCTGCAGGAACTGTTCCCGGCTAACGCAGTGCAGGTTGCGGTACTCCCCCAGAACTTGTCTAGCACGTTGTGCTCCGTCCTGCACAGCCACCGAGCCTCTCGTCCGGCAAGACCGAGACCCGATGAGGTTGGGCAAGACCTTTTTGTGCCTCTGGTGTATCGAAGTGTTGCGTGCGAGTGCGTGGCGACAAGGACGTGAGCAAACGCCCCTTCGCAAGATCGAACTCTGTCGCTTCCACTCCGACCCTCCTCGAGCAGGACCACACTTGTGTTATGCCTTGGGTAAATAAAAGCGGTGGCGATTCGCGCTAAGCATCTCACGGTGTTGTTTCTCGCGCAGCGGGTGACGACAGTGCACAACACTTCTTTTTCGTGTCAAAGCGACGGCGCTGCGACCGTAGCGACAAACGCCGTACTTGGACGACAACGCCACTGTGCAGTCGTCAATTGGTTTGGTTGATCCTTGCCATCCCTCGTCTCCCCCTCCGTGTGAATGTGCTCGGGAGGCAGACCATCCGCGAACGTGTCTTCACACGATCAACCTGCCCGCGAACCAGCTCGTCGTGCAAATCGGCCGTCGTCGTCGGCGCCGTATCGGCGGCTTTTTCAACGCAAGAACCAGAAAAGCAAACGCACTAAGCGGGAAATTAATATGCGTGTTCCTACGGCAGTTCAACGGCGAATGTAAAAGTCGGAAAAATGGAAATACCCTGAACGCATGAACGAGGTTCCACTGCATAATGAGAAAAAAAACTTTCAGCCTTTCCACTCTGGTGAAGAAGGAAGATCAGCAGAGCTGTACAATGGTGGGAATTTTGGAGAGACGAGGACAATGAAGAAAGTAATGGCAGGCCACAAGTCAGCAAGTCAGAGTGGAAAGGCTGCCGCCATCTATGAGCGATGGCGGCAACCAGATACGTGACTTGCCGCTGTTGCTCGTAGATGGCAGTAGGTGTCCAGAGTTTTCTGTCATCATTTCTTTGCGGGGGACACGATTGTAGGGAAACTAGCCCTTAACAGCTCCGCTGTAAACACGCAAGAAAAAAAAAAACATTTTTTTCTGCGTGTTGAAGGAAAACGGAAGCGAACCATCAAGTGGACGCCACTATTCACAGATGGCGCCACGTGGTACAAAAACTTGAGGAAAATCTCTTAGAGATCAACACCTTAAAGCAGATCCGGGAGCCCTGAGGGCGCATGGGGTATGACGTGCAAGGAGCAGCGTCCACCCGATGGTTTGCTTTCGTTTTTTCACTCCCGTTCCTAGAGAAAAATGTTTTACAGCAAAGCTGTTTAAGGCTAGGGTCTCGTGGATTTTTCGTGTGCAGTGACTAAAAACTCTATGCTCACACCACTGCACCCACATGCACGCCCCGTATAAAAGATTTGAAGTAACCAAAATAAAGCACTGACGAATGTGCGTACAAGATGCCATTTGTTTATGCTCTTGCTTTAGAACAGTTACTGCTGCAGACGCCGGCACCTAGAACGCCATTCCCTGCATCCTCCTTGATGCTTAGGTAATTTAGCAATCGGTCTATTCACTAGATGTAGATTAGTTATCAGTAGGCACCATATTCAAAATCAGTAGACTCTCAGGTAAATAATAAAGGTTTCTCAAGGATTTGCCGCTGTGCGACCCGCATCAGCATGTCTACGCTCGCACCGCCATCTTTGTCGTCGTTCCAAGAGCTTGCATGCCTAGTATCTTTTCGTTCCACTCTCCCGAGGTGGCGGTTTTGTCACACGTGTCTACTTTCCGCCAGGTGGCGGTCCCGTCGCGCGTGTCTAGTTTCCTTTGGTTTCTCGGGGCGTTTCTGTGTCATGTGGTAAACAGCTTCACTGGTCATCCACCTTCAGAGAGTGGAATGGCTCGCGAGTTTTTCTTTTATTACTTTCCTGGAAGTTCACGCTTGCGAAGTTTGAGAACGATCGACGCACCACTTGAAAACGCCTTTGTGAAAAAGTCTTGTAGCATGCTCTTCACTGGCTTACTTATCAAATTTTTTTTGAACGCCCAAATGGAGATTTACGCTTAACTAACACGCGCAGCTTCAGGGTGCTCGATGTTGCCGGGCCACGTGCCCTTACCTTTTGGCCGCTGTCTGGCAGGCCACCACAATCATCAGGTTGGCCACCACGTCCACGGGAACAATGTCCGCCACACCTTTCACGTCCGTCACAATCGTCGTCATCACTCCGGAAGCGCACTGCACACGGTGGGAGACGCTCTGAGATTCCACGCTCGAGAGCAATATCTTTCTAGGGCAGAAATCCATCATAAAAGAGGCAGAGGCAATGGGAAAGTGGAATATCGGGACAACATTGTGAAGTTGTGATTTTGTGGGAATGTAAACTGGCTGTTGGGTTTTCATTATTTTTTTTTTTACTCCTGAGCTTTTGCAATCTAATGTACATACCTAAGTATGAATATTCTGCATCTATTCCTACTTGAATAAACCTCAGAAATGTGAATATTCAAAACTTTGAACCATCAGCACATCTGCTTATCATTCGATTCGCAGCCCACTTTTACCGTTTGAAGCATTCTAGTTTCTTTGATAGATTTCCTTGATTTCTCACGACACGCTTCACTGCTTTGCACCGGGGCACACGTGTCAAGCTTCACTGCTCTGCACTGGCGTGCTAGGAGAAACAGCCAACATGTTAGGGAAACCAGTTTGTTCAATGGTCTCATCAATTTTGCCCCCTATTGTAAGTTAGCCTTCATTCGTCGTAATTATAGTTTGACCCCTGTAAGGACCCACGGAGGGCTCCGCGGGTGGGTCGTTAGCACCAGAGCGACTTGGCTGGTAGGAAGGCACTGACGTAAGCACCTGCCGTGATGGGCGACCTCGAGAGGCGAGGATACTTTATGATGCGAGGTTCGGAACACGCGTTTTCTGCCGAGAGAATCGGAGCGTGCGTTTCGAATTAGGAGAATGCGATTGTTCTGGCATGCACCATTTACATCGGCGTAGTCTTTCTTGCCCGTGTGTTGGGGTCACGACGGAACGGCAACGTCAGACCGCGTCTGGCAAAATCAATGACGGGATGGCTCACTTAGTTGGCGTTATCCACACCGGGGTCGGCTGTCTAACTCGCATAATATAGTGTGCTTGCATCCGGACCCGCCTGACCTTTGGCTGTGAAATATACGCAGACCCGCAGGGTCTCGCGCGGGAATGTAGGCCATTGCCCCATGGTGAGAAAGTTAGCTGATTGAAAAAAATTGGGTTGTGTGTGTGTTTATACAGCCTAGAACTTGGTCTGCCTCACAGGGGCGACGAGTCTCCCAGCTGTAGATGAGAAATTTAGCCAGTGCGGTACAGCCGCTAGCCTGGGGTCTTTAACGTGCATCACGCAGTAGTGATACACGACCGCACGCCGGTACGATGCTCATCCAGATCGAAACGGGCAGGGGTGGGGCTCGAACCCAGGATCCCTGGGTTCTGCAGCGCGAGCTTTCGCTCCACGTGCTCCGAGCTGGTGTGCGCTAGACCACTCGGCCACCGATCCCCCCCTAGCTGATTGGTTGCGGCTAGGGATGGTATGAATACCGAATAGTAGTTATCGAATCGAATTAAGAAAACAAAGCCGAATATTGAATAGTGATTTTATTTGTAGGAATTTTACAAAGTGTGCCGTCAATGAGATTATTGTATGTGCAGAGTATGCGTTTGGTGCAGAATATGAATCTTGTACGGAACACAAGCTCAAATGTATAGAAGTTTTGGAGAAAAAAATAAAGAAAAGAAAAACAGCCGCTGATGGACGTTAGGCACTAATGATTTAATTTTATAGAGCAAACATAATCTATCTACCCTAAGCGTCACAAAAACCCCAATTTACAACCACACATGCCTTTTTTTCTCGTTAAAAGCACAACCTAACACCACGACATGTCCTTTTTTTAATACTTAAATATATCAGAAGAGGGGCTTTTTGCTATATTTGGTCTCAATTTATTTTATATAAATAAACAGATAGGGGGTTAAATCTGAGTAAACAGGCTTAAACGATATAATCTGAAGTAAAAAAAAGACGTGGTTAGGTGGCGCAAGTCACTGTTCAACAGCCGCTATGCATCCATTCCTCCGTCCATCTATCCTGTTTTAAAAAGCCTAGATTTAATAGAGGGAGCATGCGAAACTAAAGCAATGGAGACAGTTCCTGCGCAGATGGGTCGTAAGTGCGCACTCTGGTTATGTTGTCGCTTGGAAAGAAGGCAAGCAAACAGAAGAGCGGCGACGCCTCCCTGATCAACGCTTTTGTCTTTTCGTCACCTTCTCACAGTTCGTAATTCAAATGTGACTATCGAACAGTTGGAAACCCTCTCAAATCTAGGCACACTATTTTTCTGTTCCATTTCGTTCTGAATCAGAATTTGCAGCTTGCGGTTCCGAAAGGACGACGACGACAACTCGGCTGGTTTAATTAGCGTGGTTAAAGTGTTGTTTTTTTTTCTTTTTTGTGATCTTGCAGTTGTCGGTTTCTGTAAGTGTGGCAAGCGTATTCTACACCGGTGCTTCAATTTGAAACGAGGGGTTTAGCTCGTGAAAAGAATTAGGCACGGCGCGGAATTCCGGCCTCCCAACAATTCCCCTCTGGAAGCGGCCAAACGGAATGTTTCGGTTGTGATTCAAGATTAGATTGTGTCACAATCATGAGTAAATCTGCGTGCTATAAATATAAAGTTTGTGGCGTTCGTTACATTTCGTTTTTCTAACTTGTGCGTTAAATTTTTGTGGAATGGTAGGACCAATAGGCGATTCTCACATTGTCTGTCAAACATCACGGCGCTAACATCGGGAGAAAAAACAACTCTTTTGTCAGCTCCGCGCCAACCGCGCGTCTTTGGCCAGATACAGTATAGACCGCACATAACGTATGTCGCGGGAGTCGCGAAAATTTGCACTATAAGTGGTACCGCGCTATAACCAAAACATCAATTTTTCAGGCCAAAATACATGCCATCAGACAATTTACCTTTGTAAAATTATTTATTTTATGTTAGATGAAAAATAAAGCTTAGTTTGAGGAAAGTCGTCCTTATTTCATCAGACTAATACACTTCTCTCTCAAGTGTGTCACACATTTTGAAATAAATGAGTGACTTTTGCCTGGCGCAGCATTTTAACGGCGTCGCGGGTTGCGGACGGACGTTGCGAGCGTTCAGGATTGCCAACCCTAATCACTTTTCTCCAGCGAAGAAAACGCGTGAAAATTCGCATCCTTTATACGGTACGCGCCAGTAATACTTTCAACTTGAGCACAGGCATGAGATGCTCCAAATAAGAAAAAACGCTTTCATAGGTATGCTTTTTAGAAAAGGTTTCCAGCCATTGTTTCCCAAAGTATCTATGCTCAATTTACATTACGTGTAAAACAGTCCTATTTGAAAACAGAATTTGACTCGCAGTCCTATTTTGACATTCGTATTCTATCATAATTGCATTTAATATTTCTACATCTCTAATACCTGACTAATGTTTGAATCACGGCTCTCTTAACAAGCAAAAAACAAAGAAATATCCTTAAGTTAATTTGCTGGACTTACCGAAGCCAGCAGACTCGTTGAGCCGTTCAGGGCGTCCACCCAGCCCTGAAATAAAAATGGAAATGAAACGACCAAGCATTTTACTTCATATTTTCTTATTAGAGGCTACACTCCGGCTTCTAAAGATCGGAACATAGTGCTTGCAGCCTCTGATTTGTAACACAGGTCTACCAGCCACAACTACTTTACCAGCTACTACAACTACCACTCAACATGTAGAGAGAAAAAAAAAAAAACAAAAAAACAAACAAGAACACAAAATTACTGGCAGCTCATAGCGTTTCCGAACATTGAAAGCTCACAATCAAATCATTCGTCCCTTAGCCTGAGCATTGTAGCAAAGATAATGGTAAAATTGTATTGTACAACAAATTCACCATTCCTTTGTGGTGATTTTGCACAGATGAACTCGGTACGCATTTTACGCTTCGACAGCACAAACCTTGTTGTGCGCAGCATGTCCGAAAGGAAACCCTGGCAAAGCCAGCGTTTCGGCTAGAGTGGAGTACAAAGCTTGCATCTCTTGTGGTTGCACACTGAAGCTCCCACCTTGCTATTTTGCACCTCCCGGTTTTCTCCGAAGCACTTGCTTGTTCCCTTCCCCTTGCCTCCTCTTGCACCATATGGGCACGTGTGCTAGCTCAGCAGCTCCTAGATAACGAGGCCACAGTTCTCAATTTCCTTTCGATCGATTATCGGAGGTCAGTGCGCGACGCAGACCGAGTGCGAGTGCTGCATCAGTGGTTGGATGCAACTTGTCTCTAGTTAGCGGTCGTCACCACTCGTCCGATGCTATCTCAACAGAGGAAGGGGCTGGAATCCAGCCTCCTATTGCGTTCTGTGTTAAAATACAATGTTTAGAACAGTTGGAAATGTTTCCAGTGTCTCCTTAAGGCTGGCCATTCCAAGCAGTAACTTTGCCGGCATTGACACCGATTTACACGTGATGGTTCGTAAAGAGATTAACGACATCCAAATCAATGGAAGTGTTTGTGTTATCGTAATGCAACTGCCGCCCAACTGCAAAAATTGCAAAATGCAAGCTTCTTAAAAAAAAAATGTACAGTCAAACCTCTATGTAACGAAGTCAGTAAAATTCTGTATTTACTTTGTTACATCATAATTTCGCTACATAGAAATTCGGGGCTAACGTTCAAGAAAGTTTCCAAAAATGTTTCTCGGGTGCACAAAACTCACTGAGGATGCCTTTATTTCGGTTGAACGTACCCCGTCACCTTTATCTGGGCCACTACTGGCATTATTATTGGCATCACGCGACGTTTGCATAGCCAGACGGCCTGCATCGTGTCTTCATCTTGCTGTGTGCTTGCGAACCAGATCAAGACATCGATTGCGTCCACCACTTCACGGTTAATGAGCACATCGCAGGTGTCTTGCTTATCAGGCTTGATGTCGTCTCCGTCTTTAGAGATCCCACGAACACCGCTAGCTATCGCCTCGTTGGTCATTTCCTCCGCTGCAATGACAGCAGCGTCGGCTTATAGAAAGTTATCGAGGCTAACGTTGTCGGGGGCAGCTCCATCGCCTTCAAAGCTCCATCACCCAGGACAACGAGAAACGCATGCTTTTGGTTAAGCCTCGAAACAAACTATGCAGCACGAATGAAGCCGACGGACGGAACGGCGGCGGCTCTATAGTCCGTTGCAACTCAAGAACGAAGGGCGAGGGTAAGACAAGCCGGGGAGGAGGAAGCAGATGGAACGCTAAAGAGGGAGGGAGGTTCCCCTCTCTTCTCCAGCGTTCCGTCTGCTTCCTCCTCCCCGGCCCGCCCTACCCTTGCCCTTCGTTCTAGAGTTGCAACGGACTATAGCGTCCTCTAGTGGCCGTTCTGTACACCACACATGCCAGATTCGGCCAGTTTCGCCTCTTGCGCTTCACCGGGGGCCCGTTTCAGCGCATGTGCTTCCCAAAATCATTTGAGATCCAAACGTTTGTGACGAATCGTCCATGAAACTTCGTTACATCGACATTGCGGCGAACGGGACTTCGTTAAATAGAGGTAAAAAATACATGGCGTGCATACACTTGCGGTTAGAAAAAGTATGTACTTCGTTACATCGGGGGGTTTCGTTACATAGAAGTTTGTTACATCGAGGTTTGACTGTTGAGCCCTTCCACTTCACGTGAAGATGGAGAACAAGCAAAGCTCTTATCTTTACGATGTCTAGGTCGATGCAAAGAGGACAACATCTAGGACGACCTCAAGGACAACACCTAGAGGACGCCATCTAGGACGACCTCAAGGACGACATCGAGGACGATGCCTAGGACAACCTCAGGGACGACCTCAAGGATGACGTGTAGATGACCTCAAGGACGACTAATAGGACGACCTCGAGGACAACGTTTAGGACGACCTCAAGGATGACTTCTAGGACGACCACAAGGACAACCTCTCAAACGACTTCTAGGACAACCTCAAGGATGATTTCTAGGACGACCTGAAGGACGACTTCTAGGACGACATCGAGGACGATGCCTACGACGACCTCAGAGACGATGTCTGGCACAACCTCAAGGACGACGTCCAGATGACCTCAAGGACTTCTAGGACGACCTCGAGGACAACTTCTAAGATGACCTCGAGTATGTCGTCTAGGACAACCTCAAGGATGACTTCTAGGACGACCACGAGGACAACTTCTTGGATGACCTCGAGGACGACCTCAAGGACGATTTCTAGGACGACCTGAAGAACGACTTCTAGGACGACGCCTAGAAATTCAGCCTTTCCACTCTGGTAAAAACCAGAGTGGAAAGGCTGGAAAGGTTGCCGCAATCTATGAACGACGGAGGCAGCCAGACAACTGGCAAGCCGGTTGTCTGGTTGCCGTCGTTGCTCATAGATGGCAGTAGCTGTCTGGAGTTTTTTGTCGACATTTGTTTGTCAACAGACACAATACTGGGAAAACTAGCTTTTAACAGCCTTGCTGAAAAACACAAAAAAATAACAACACTGCAAACAGCTTACATTGATTGATTACTAGAATTAACGTTTGTTCATGTGTTGCCACAACTAATATCCCATTGCTGCCAGTGTTTGCCAACTTCACAACAACAAAGTCCCCGCGACCACAAACTTCTTCACATGTTTCGTCAATTTCGTTGTGACAGGAGTGAACTGCATACAGCGGCGGTTCTCAAGCTGTGGTCCGCGGACCTTCAGGGGTCCTCAAGAGCGATCACGGGGGTCTGCACCAAATAAATAAACCACCCCAAGGAAAAGCCCTCCTATGCCATCACAATACAGTCAAACCTGGATATATTGAATTCAAAGGGGATCGTAAAATAGAGTGATATAACAATAATTTGATATACAAAATATGCTAAATTAAGCTCGAGTTGAAATTTCGTGGTGTTTTTCCTAATACCTAAGGTTGCGATTAACAAGAGCTTACCAAATAGAACATCCAAGAGCCACTAAATAGAGTAGAGTGTTGGCGGAGACTGCAAACACCGCTGCACTTACACACGCACCTGGCTTCACACAGCATAAACGACAAAACACGAAAATAATAATAAAAAACAAAAAAGCGAGCTGCATAAAAAATTTTTTTGGTCCACAGTAAAAAGTTGAGCAACAAAAAAGAATGCTTACTATATATTCAGGCAGCAAAAAAAAGAAAGCCTGGCAAAGCAACAACGACAAAAGAAAACGGTAAACGAAGATAAGGCGTTCAAAGTGCAATTGCACAACCATTGTTGTCGACACACTCGACTTGCCCAAGACTTTTTTTTTTTTGCTTATTTTATTTTGGGGTTAAGGAGTCCGCAGCATCAGCAGCGTTCGGGGAAAGGGCACAGGCTACTGTTACAACAGCGGGCACTCCCTGCTCTCCCTATGCGTGCTTGCGTGTGTGTCCTTGTTGCTTTTGCCATCCCTGTTTCTTTTTTTTACGGTTCATTGCCTCACCTTTACCACAACTGCTCTTTCGCTGCTATTTTCCCGCGTGTATGGTGGCTTGGTGGTCTGCTAGTCACGCAACGTAACGCAAGCTATGTGCTCGCCATCGGCGCAATCGGATCAGGAGAAAAGCAACGGGCGGCGGGGGCTTAGTTCGCTATATCGAGCGTCCCCATTATGGGAGTTGGATACAAAAAGACAACGCTCCTATACTATTACATGTGATCTTCAAGGGGATGTTTGGACTGTTTGATATAAACAATAATTCGAAATACCAGAGTGTGATATAACTGTAGACCTCTGATGCAGAATGCATTGGTGAACCCCCAACGGCCTGTGTGGGTCAGGGAGTCTGTGACAGCCAAAAGTTTAAGAACCGCCGGTATACGTGGCTTTTTTTTTAGGCCTTATAGATTTGTTATAGAACAAGCCGTGAAAGCTAAGCTAACATGGTCTGTACAGGTGTGTTATACGACCAAGGGGACATAATATGGGGGGCTAATCGTCACAATAACTGAGCTAACGAACCAATTTTTTACAGCAGAGCTGTTAAGGGCTAGTTTCCTCAGCATTGTGTCCCCCGCAAAGAAATGTCGACACAAAACTCTGGACAGCTACCACCATCTATGAGCGACGGTGGCAACCAGACAATCAGCTTGCCAGCCTTGCTCATAGATGGCGACAACCTTTCCAGTCTTTCTTTCACCAGAATGGAAAGGCTGAATTTCCCTAGGCATCGTCCTAGATGTTGTCCTTGAGGTCGTCCAAAACATTGTCCTTGAGGTTGTCCTCAAGGTCGTCCTAGAAGTTGTCCTTAAGGTCATCCTAGACGTTGTCCTTGATGTCGTCCACGAGGCTGTCCTCGAGGTCGTCCTAGAAGTCATTCTTGGGGTCACCCTAGAGTCGTCCTTGAGGTCATCCTTGAGGTCATCCCAAAAGTCGTTTTTGAGGTCATTCTAGACATTGCCTTCAAAATCGTCCTAGACGTCGTCCCGGAGGTTGTCTTAGGCGTCGTCCTTGAGGTTGTCTAGATGTCGTCTCTGAGGTCGTCCTCTAGGCGTGGTCCTCGAGGTTGTCTTAGAAGTCATCCTTGAGGTTGCCCTAGACATCGTCCTTGAAGTCGTCCTAGACGTCGTCTTTAGGCGTCGCCCTTGATGTCGTCTGACCATAATACAGCTTCGCTGGTCTTCCTTCTTCACCAGTGTGAAAAAGCTGAGCATTCTTTTATCAACTTTTTGGTTATTGAAAACAAATATATGGTTCAAATAAAAAACTTATTTTATATCATCAAGCCGCTAAATCAGTAAACTTCAGAAAGACTTCAAGCACATGGGAAGTGCAGAAGTGTGCTAAACTTGCTACTGATGCAACAGGCAAAAGGGCTGGCAGCACAAAAACATGGATGATAAGGGATGGAAAAACCATTCAGGCCTGCTTTGAGGTGCTTGCCTCAAAGGCAGGCCTGTGTGGTTTATCAGTGAATTTTGATGACACTCCGCAAGTTTTTCATTGGAACCATATGTTTATCTTCACTAATTAAAAAGTTACATAACAAGTATTAGTTTACTATTCGACTTCTCCTGATAAGCCCCCTGGCCATGTAACTCGCATGCACAAACCACATTAGTGTACTCTTCTCAACTTTTTTTAAGAGTAGTCTGTAAAGTCTAGAAAAAAACACCCTGTACGCGATGCTTTATGTGTGAAGTCAGCCTGTAGGAGTCCCACAGAGGGGAATGTTTGTGCAAAGGTTGCGGCACGACTCACGGGAAAGGGCTCCTTCCAGGAGGCGGCTACAATGGAGGGCCGGATGATGGCCACAGGCAGGTCCCAGCCTTCTTCGGCCACCAGGGATTCGCTCAGGAACTTGGCCAGGACGTACGTGTTGGGCTTGGAGCGGAGCAGCTGCGGAGTGAGCGCCGCCAGCATGCTCTCCTCCATCCACCTGCAGAGCACGTTGCGACAGTTGCACATATCACGACACTTGCTCTTGTTATTGCAACAGGCATCACATTGAGAGTTATCATATTGTGATAGTCACACACACACTGTGAGAGTTTCTTACATTCTAGAGAGAGGCGTTATATTGCGACATTTGCCCACACTGCGAGGGTTTCACACATTGCAATACTAGCTCTTGTTATCGTGAGAAGTATACGTTGTGACAGCTGCGGAGTGAGAGCTGTAATGTGATAAGTGCACAGTTTGTGACACTTGCTCGCATTTTAGTGATGTGTGTACTACGGTAACAGATGCAATCATAGGAAGGTTTGTATACATTATGACACTTGTCCTTGTTATAGCCTCGTCCCACTAGAGCGACAAACACCGATTTTTGTTTGACGACACCACAAAGTTCCGTGTCGCCGATGCTGTCCCACTGCAACGACCGACACCCGTCAACAAACGCCGACAAACGATCGACGATGAACGAGTTCTTGTCTGTCGTTGGACATGAAGCGCAGCAAGCAGTCCCACTGAGGAACATCTCTCGGAGACAAACTTATCCTCCTCGCCCGTTTATGCGTTCTGTTGCCTCCCTTCTCACCCTTCTACCCTTCCTCCCGAAACGAGAAGCCCTTGGCGGCCACTCCTCGTTCGGGGCCCCGCGGTTCCGGTCCCCGATTGCACGTAGTGGTCATGGGCACAATTTGCTGGCTGGCGCCGGGCAGTTGTCTTGCGAAAGGGAATTTGCTGTGGCTGGTTTTGCTCGCGATAATTTGGTGCGCAAGGTGGTGCTTCAAGACGCCGAAGTCTACGCCCCTGCATCAGGATGGATACACCCATGTGCGAGGACTGACCAAGGTAAGACCGCTCACCACAAAGTAGGACACGATGTTCCACGGCAAGCCATTCCGGCAGACGAGGGACTCGTCATCAGGTTCTGTGATAATCGGGATGCCGTATTGTCCACCAAAGAGCGCCTGCCCTCGATCATTTGAATATGAAGTCATAAACATCCTCAAAATCAGCGTGAAACTCTGTGGCGCTCACGTAGAATGCCTCGAACGGCACAAAAAAGGAACGATTCGGGTATTTCTAGTTCGGAAAAAGTTTGGTGTCCATTGTCACGACTGTTTACGGAAACTCGCCAACGGCAAATGAAGAGAAGCTTTAATCAAGAAATAAAGTAATCGTCTCCACTTTCACTGTGTTTGTCGGCACGTTTTATGCCCAAAGAGCAAAACACGAAAATTGCGTTGCCAGACTCTGTTTGTCTGTGTATTTTGAAGTGTTTTGTTGACAACCCCAGTCCCACTAGGAAACAAGTTTCTTTGCCCCTGTGTTCTGCGTCGTGTCTGCCAGGTGGGACGGCGGACTCCGACAAACAGGCTGTCTGTCGGTGTCGTCTGTCGCTCGTTGTCGTGTGTCGCTGTCGTTTGTTGCTGTCTGTCGCTCTAGTGGGACGCGGCTATTACTGTGAGCACGCATTAAAACAGTCGCTGAGCAAGAGCTGCAACATCGTGATAGTTGCATACACTCTGAGGGTTGCCCAGCCTTTGTTACTTGCTTGCATTCTAGTTAGGAACATCACACTGTGACTGTTGCAAACATTGAGAGTGCGCACAGTATGAAACTTGCTCTTGTTATCGTGAAAGGTATCACATAGCAAAAGTTGCCCAGTGAGAGCTCTCATGTTGCAATAGTTGCACACACTGTGAGAGTCGCACAGATTGATACCTGCTCACATCCTTAAGAGGTGCAATATTGTGACGGTGACTCTCACTATGAGGGTTGCGCAGATTATGGCACTTCTCCTGTTATTGCGAGACATGACATCAAAGCAGTTGCTCAGTGAGAGCCGTCAAATTGGGATAGTTGCATACACCTTGAGAGTTGTACAGCTTTGATACTTCGCACATTCTTGTGAGATGTCATAGTATGACAGCTGCACACACTACGAGGGTTTTGACACTTGCTCCCGTTATGGTGAGGGGGCCACGTCGCAACAACTGTCACATCACGATGTCTGTCAAATCACGAGTCGCATGCATTGTAAGGGTTGTGCACATTATGACAACACATCCTCATATTAATTCCCGAGCTCTCCAAGGGGTGGCGCTTTTGCCGGAGCCCCTGTGTGCCGATCAGTGACTACAAAGTGCAGCTATCACCACCACCTCTTTTTCCTACAAGAAGTATAGAGTTTGTTTTATTTTTATTTATGGTACCACAAGTTTCGTGTGAGTCTGGGTCATCAAAGCCTGTGGACTTCTCTGTAGAAATAACTACTGTGCAAGTCACTTCCCGTGTAATTTTCTAATGCCCAGTAAAATTATTAGTTGTTGAATTTTTAATTTTTTTTTTTTTTATTAAAGGTTTGCTTCATGGTTTACAGAAAAATGCATCAAATATGTTCCAACATGATTACCCAGGAACGGGGAGAAAAACGGGATGAACAACACAAAGCTGCTAACACAGCTGGGCTGTGTTTGGAGCTTTATGTTGCCCGTCCCGTTTTTTCCCCCTCCCCCTCCTGGGTTACCATGTCAAAATTGAAACAGCTTGCCTGCACACTTGCTTTAGTCTCAAACATGTTAACAAATCAAATTCATGAGCTTCTCGAGGCTCCGCTGAATTCCCCAACAATCCAATATTTCCGGGGTCTTTCCTAGCTCCAGAAGTGTCGTGCATGCACACCAAAAACAGAAATGAGCCAAGATGGCACAGAAAAGAGAAAGAGCTAAGGAAGGATGACTCACTTTGTGCACGCGATGATGTTCTGCGGATGCACCGGGGGCCGGTATATCCGCTCGTCCAGCTTCTTGCAGTCGCAGTTGCAGTAAGCCGTCGACACGTGCACCACAGACTGGAGAAATTATCATCATCATCATCATTTATGAAGCTTTGAAGGCCCATAGAGGCATTACACGAGGGATGAGCAAGTGCAGGATGTCATTACCGTAAAATCCCGAGGAATACAAAAGGTAACCCACCCCTGTTTTTGCCTTGATTTGCTATTCCACTTTAAACAACCGAAAGATGACCCACTCCTGGTAATCGTTGTGTATGAATCAATGAGGACCTTGGCATAAATGCATCTAGTTAGCTATGGTGGGATATAAGCAAATGCTGCTGACTGGGAAGTACAGTCACCTTTGCTTCATCACCCCTTGCTGCGATAACAAGTTTGACAGAAACACATGATCTAAAATTATAATTTTTCTACTTTTCTTGATTGCACATTGAAAGTTAGCTCACTCCTTATTTACACCCAATTTTCTATCGATTTTAAGTGGGCTATCTCTCGGGATTTTATGGTATTTAAAAGCAAATGCCTAAAGCCTCTGTCTTTTACACAAACAAAACATGAAAACTTTCGCAGCTGGTGGGAAGAGCGCAAAGAAGCCCCTGGATGCCTCGAGTGGCAGCAGATGCATCGCCAAGACGCTTATCGTAAGAAATAAGCATGATATGCACTTGCCCCTTACTCTAGAAACATTTGAAACATAAGCTAAGGACATATGAAGCACCCCACCCAAGCGGAGCCCACCGAGCTAATTGAGACACTCCTTTGTATCGGCCATTTCACCAAGCATGCCGATGCAAAGCGGTGAAGCTTTACAGGGCGGCCTAGCACTTCGTGAAATCCCAGGATCCAGTCCAGCAATAATCATGATCAATATTTAATAATCAGGATGGTTGGAAAACAATGCCCACCTTCAGATTTTTCATTTCATGACACAGCTTGAGCACTTTCCTGGTTCCTTCAATGTTCATCTCCACCGCATGCCTAGAAAGAAAGCAATGATACCATTTGGCTGATGTTTCTGCAACAAAGTGTGATGGGGTCCTCGTGCGTAACTTTTGCAAGGTTGCAGCAATTGCGTCGGCATCTGCTGACAAATAAATGTTTATAGGGCAATGTGTCCAGATTACAATTGGATTGAGTTCTGCTACTCTTTGAAAGCTGTTCGCATTATCATTTGATATATGGATATCTTAACCTGAATACTAATATCTCACAATGAGTATGGCCAACGACGCTTGAACACCGACATACACTTTGCGCTTTCCACTTTTGCCCACCTCCCCCTTTCCTACATCCTCTCCGCTTTTCACCCAGCCCCTGGCAGTTTAGGAGAGGAGGACGCCAAGAGGATTATCTTCCTTGCAGAAAACCGAGGTTCCCGTTTCCAGTTTTTCATTCTCATAATAACGTTAACACCCTTAAGGGGGGACACTACCTTGAATTGCACCTTTTTTTTAAAAAAAATGCATATTCAGAACTGCAAAGTTTTGGCATGTATAGATAACAAAGAACATTCTCACAAAGTCTTGTCAATGTGTACTAGGGTGACCACCCGTCCCGCGACTCGCGGGACTGTCCTGCATTGAGGGCTCGTGTCCCGCGTCCCGCGAGAAATACCAAAATCTTCAAAATATCCCGCATTTCACATTGTCGTAGCATTCGACTACGCAAATTCTGGCGCTTCTGAAGAGCGGGCCACGGTGTAGCGCGGAGGTCGCTGATGAACGTGCGAATCTCTGTTTTATGCCATTTTCTACACAAGCACTGCGTGCAGCGACCGTCGTTCTTACAGGAGTATGACGGGCATGTGCTGTTGTGCCTTGACCCTTGATAGCAATATATTGCAAGCGACAATTGCTCGCCGAAAGTTGAAAAATAAACTACTATTGTAGTTATTTGTAAATCATGCTGTGTCATGCAAGAGGGTTTGTCATGGAAAGCTTTTTTTAGTGAAGACGGCCACACAAGGAAAAAAACCTGCAACTCACAAGGGGACATAAAAACAGCAACATAAGGTTCTAATTTTGTGTAAGAGCATGTTAGCTTGTATGTATCGACAGGAAACGACAAGTCGAAAAATAATTACTGTTTCTTATTTCCCTTTCATGCATTGTGGTCTGCTGCAGTCAATTTACATGTTTTCAACTTAGGCACTCATAATAAAATATTTACCATAACAATTATACAAACAATATATCACTGCCAGTGAAAATTATTTTAGCTTAACTACCGCTGCACAATCTTCAGGAGTATAATATGCTTTCGGACTGCATAGGAGATCAGGGTGTGCGTGATGCATGGTGAATTTTTTTAATACCTACTCGTGAGTCGTGAAAATACCGTCCTCCTCTTCTTCTCCTCCTCCTCCCCTCCCCCTCCCCCTCCCCCCCAGGTCAGGGTGTCCCGCATTTCGCCTACAGGAAGGTGGTCACCCTAATGTGCACTGACAAACAATGTCAAAAATAATTATTCTTTACATGTTGGTGAGGAGTGCTGCACTGCTAGCACTTGTCAACCACAAGTGAAAATAGCTGAAAGCAATGTCAGTATATCAGAAGAAGTTTGAGGAAGACATCACCCACACTGCTGGAAAGAAGTTTTGACATTTAAGACACAAAAATAAATTTTTAAAACTTCATCATGAAACTTCAAGTGCATTTATCTCAACTTCACTTTTTAGTGTCAAATATCAGTTCAGGGAAGCTATCATTTCATATTCAAATTATGCGTGCAGATATATTTTGGTTTCTCTATATTGAAATTTTCTGGAGAACACGACTGTGAACTTACTTTCTTCATTTTTATGCTCTTTTGTTATGAAAAGTTTATATTTCTTTTAAATCAAATGTACACACAAAAAAAATCTTCTTCCACATTTTTTTTTGTGATTAAAATTGTATAAATTTTGAAATTTCTTTTCATAGTCGTCTGAAGCAAGTATTCTCGTGTATGTTCCAGCAAAAAAACTGGCCATTTTCATTACCCTTTCTAAACGACAGCTTTCCTCAGCAGATACACTTTTTTATTATGAACTTTTATGTAACTCATCGTGGGATAAATTTATAGGGTTGAAAATTTCCACAGCATCCTTGTCCAGTGCTATGAGTACACCCTGCAAATTTCATGCAAATAAGACTGACGGTTCAAAAGTTAGCCTTTCGGAGTAGTGTTCCCCATTAATTATTTTATAACATCGGCAAACTCAAAGTGGGGAAATGTATCGGATATGCAGTTGAATTTTTGAAAAGTGGATAATTACTTGTATAAGTGTTAAACTAGAATGGCATCTTACGTGTTTGGGTTGTACAACAGCCATTTCTTAAAGGTGCACCAGATTGTGTTATCAGATAACACTAACGATTGAGATCATTAAGTGCGTGGATTATGTTTGCAGACAATATATTTGGTATATAGAAATATCAAGCTTTAAAATATTTAAGTGTTTTATTTAGTTTGTATAATTGGTGCATGCACCGAATTGTCTATTCAAGTTCCACTTCTTTTGAGAGGATCTATGACTAGTCCCTGGTTATGGATTCTGATCAATGCACATGCTTCCATGTATTATTTGCAATAAAATAAATTAACTAATGAAATATTTCACTATACTGAATGCTCAATGTTTCGTTCTGTCTTGTGTTTTGGAAAATGCAACCTGTTTCGTACACTTCTGCAGATGTAAAGGGGAGACAGGGGCCTCGTCAAGTACCAATATGCCGATTTTCTTGTGGTCTTTCCTCCTCAAATTTAAATAAAATAAAATTGAAAGGGGAATATGCGTTAACTTCATCACCAACTGCCACACGGGGAAGGCAGAACTAGAATTTCAGGAAACTTCGGCAAACTCCGCTGTTCTATTTTACAAAATCTGCTTCCTAGATCGAAACGCTGCTGCTTTAGGATCTGCCTCTCCCCATTAATTGGCAGACTCAGTAAAGAATAATTTGCTGCATGAATGTTTGGACGGCGGGGAGTTGGACCCAACAGGCGTTTGGTTTCTCTGCCGCAGATGGGAAAGTCGGCCAGTGCAGTACGACTGCTCGCCCGGGGTCTTTGGAGGCCAGTGCACACATTTCCGTTTTATAAGATAGAGTGCGTTGTAACCACTAACGAGAAAACACCCTGGTGAGCCCTGGAACGTCTCCAAGCTGCATATACAGGGTGTCACAAAAGAAAATTTACACGGTCTTTTTTACCGCAAAAATAAACTAGGCATCGCCGAACGCTCATTATCCGCCCAAAGGTAGAGCTAGAGGTCACAACCAGATGCCCCAGTTTCAGCCCGATCCGATAACTTAATCAAAAGTTATAAGTGATTTTCTAAAAATTTCAATGGGAAAATGGCGGCCGACGGAGTTTTCAAACACATGGGGCTCTATGGCACCAGAAACCGAAAACGGGCAAAAATGGGCTCCATTTTCCCATTGAAATTTTCAGAAAATCACTTATAACTTTTGATTAAGTTATCGGATCGGGCTGAAACTTTGGCATCTGGTTGTGACTTCTAGCTCTACCTTTGGGCAAAGAATGAGCGTTCGGCGATGCCTAGTTTATTTTTGCGGTAAAAAAGACCGTGTAAATTTTCATTTGTGACACCCTGTATATATAACTAGGCAGAAAGTTTTGCGGTATTTGCAAGGTCCAGAGAGTCTAGGAAATTATTATCTTGAAATTCCCCAACTTTTCCAGGTTTTTCCTGACAAATTCAGGTGAAATTCCCTGACCACTGTAGAGGCATTTAAGTATATAAGACAATTACAACACAAGGCATTGAGCAATGTGAGGACCGTTTTGCGCGGGCTTAATCCAACTTTCATATTCCAAAATAGTCGGGTTCGTCCAGTCGGGATCAAAAGAGCCCTCTCTTGCCGCCGATATCATCAGTGAAGAGGCCCCTTCCAGAAACACGAAAACATGGCGCTCAACCACACACGCCTTGTTAATAACCGAATGGCAGCATGGCCGCCAAATGGACACTTTCGGATAGTTTTGGCTTAGATTGGATTGGGGTCTGCGGCTTTCCCATTAGTTACTAAATCTAGTAGCTCTAACTGGATTTAGCCTAGTGTTGCACCCTCAATCCAAGGCTTGACTGGCTTTGTTGGCTGTTCCCTTTGCATCGAGCAGCACACTCTACATCGGGTGAGCAGAGCCTGGGCTCCCCTCTAAGCAGAATTTATTGCCTATTTTTCTGCACCCAAGTCCTCAAGTCTTTGCTCAGGCCACTCAATGGCGTTTCCGGCTCATTTTCCGACTGGGCTCGCTTTTTGACAATATCCCTGACAATTTCCTGAAATTTCCCGGTAATGAAACTTTCCCTGACAATTCCCGGTTTTCCCGGTCGCTAGACACCCCGAGGTCAAATGTATGCACTATCTACGAGAAAATATCTTTTGAGATCATTACGGTGCAGGATGCCGAAATGTTCGTCGTACTCCCGCACAATACACCAGCGTGAACGCAGCCTGAATGCAGCCTGAACGCAGCCCGAACGCCCCCTTCCCTCCCTGCCCCCTGCCCCTGCCCCCTGCCCCCTGCCCCCTGCCCCTGCCCCTGCTTCTGCCCCCCCCCCCCCCCCCCCCCCCCCCTTCCCCCCCCCCAAAAAAAAAGTCATACTTGGGTTTTTTTTTTTTATGCCAAACCAACGAATACCATCTGGCACACTCCAGCGGAAGGCCGAGGATTAATTTCGACCACCCGGGGATATCTTGACACGCAACTGAAAGCTCGAAATCCAACCACCGCTGCTGCAACGTCCCTAGGGGCACGGCCGGCGACGACGCAATGCTTCTACATTCGAATCTCGTTGATTCAGACTCGAGGGGAACCGAAAATTTGTTTCAATAAAGCAAAGTTGGAATCACCGGGAGCTTCCTCCCATAGAGACGCATAGGATGGGGACCAGCATGTTAGTTTGAATTATCCGCAAGTTTGAATTAATGAGAGTAGACTGTACAATGTTGTCGGGCAGAAATCGAGGGACCACTTCTTGGTACGCGGCAAACATGCACCCATAAGAAGAGGCCTGCACCTGACCCCCCTCGAACGTCGTCACTACAGTGGATCTGTGCGGTGCAGCCTAGCTTGCGTCACCATCGCCGCAAGCACATTGAACACATCTACTGCTTGGGTTGGGTTGGGGATGCACTAACGATGACGTCGTGCTCTAGGCGGTACTGGTTCCGGGCACGGTACCGGCACCTTGCCTCGGAGCTACCCAGGCAGCTGCCACCTTCCCAAGAAGGTGCGGACCTGAGAGTTTCGTTGAACTTGATGGTGGCGGCGGAGTGGAAGACGACCGACACCTCGCGCGTCAGGAGTTCGTAGTCGTCCGGCTGCAGCCCCAGCCCCGGCTCCGTCAGGTCCCCATCGATGGCCGTCAGTTTCTCGAGCGCGTCCGAGTGCTCCCGATGGATGTGCTCGAAGCACTGCGTGAGAGGAGAACCCGGCTCCGCTGAGCACGAGGCACCTCGAAGACGTCTTGAAACAGCCCGAACGAGATAGACGTTGTGGGATGTGCGAGTCATCTACGTGACATTCTTATCGGTACGTCCAGAGGAGACGTTTCTACCTGGGAACCTCAAGAAACAATGTACACAGCCACAGAGCACAAGATGTTTTGTAGATGTCTTGAAACGGCTCAAATGAGCTTCGGACGTCCAAGGCTACGGAAGTCATCTGCGAGACATTGTTTCTAGACATCTAGAAGACATCTCTGTTTAGATATCTAAAAGACTTCCCTGCATGGACGGGAAAATGTAAAAAAAAACACCGACCACAAGATATTTCATATCGTAAAGTTCCCAAAGAACACCCACCCAAAATGAAAGGATAAATGATGGAAAACATGGAGTGGGCTATCTTTGGGGATGCCAGAGGAAAACGTTATAAAAAATTAATGATAAACACCAGGACACCCGCTACAAACCACGTGACGCGGGAACTGATACTCTCGATCGCGGACACCGCAAATTCGTGTTTCACGATGCGATAAACACATGGTAATTCGCTATGAACTCCTGTGTCACGGGAAAGGATACCACAGGTTGCGGACGCAGCAGATTCGCGTTTTACCGTGTAAAGGACCTGCGGAAACCCGCCGAGAACTCGCATCTCACGGGAACGAATACCGCAAACCGTGGACACAGCAGATTCAAGCTTTATGGTGCAATAAACACGCGGGAACCCGCTACTAACTTGCCTGTCACGGGAACTGATATTGAGCGCGCAGATCGCAGACAATAAAGTGGAAATCCATAAAAAACTCGTATTTCACGAGAACGAATACTGTAGATCGCGGACGCAGCAGATTCGCATCTTACAATGCAATATACATGTGGGAACCACTTGTGTGTTACAGGAATCAATATCACACGCGCAGGTCGCAGACATGCGGGAATTTGCTACAAACTCTCATGTCACAGGAACGGATACCGCAAATCGCAGACACAGCAGATTTGCGTTTCATGAGGCAATATACATGCGGGAACAACTCGTCTGCTACGGGAGCTGATAACACGCACGCAGATCGCGGATAAAAACGCAAGAACCTGCTATAACAGTGCATCAGACGTACCAGTACAGCAGATCGCGCGGCGAATGCTACAATCTAAGCTCGTTACAACAGACCTGGTTACAAGAGAGATTTGGATATAATACACCGATTTGTGAAATTCGGTTGGTTTTCCTCTACATACCATTGACTTAAACTTCATATCTGCATACAACATACTCTTCTTAGAACAGACCAAAATCTTGGTCAAAATCAAGGTCCGTTATAGTGAGCTTGACTGTATTACCGTCGGACATTGTGTGACGTCCCACGGGAATCAAGAGGTGGCCGATATTTCGGAATGTTTATGTTACAGATATTTAGCCAGAAAAACGGGATAGGTTGGTTTTCCTCTACATACCATTGACTTAAACTTCATATCTGCATACAACATACTCCTCTTAGAACAGACCAAAATCTTGGTCAAAATCAAGGTCCGTTATAGCGAGCTTGACTGTATTACCGTCGGACATTGTGTGACGTCCCACGGGAATCAAGAGGTGGCCGATATTTCGGAATGTTTATGTTACAGATATTTAGCCAGAAAAACGGGATAGACGATCTCTGGGGGGTGGCCATTTTGCTCAGAACTTTACGGTAGATGTCTTTGGACAACTTGAATGAGCTTGAAATGTCTAGGGCTACAAAAGTCATCTGCAAGACATTGTTTCTATACATCTAGAGGATACCTTTATCTTTCCTACATGGGCACCTTAGGAGACAATGTATAAAACCCAAGTGTAAGACGTCTTGGAGGTCTTGAAACAGCTCAAATGAGCTACAAACATCTTGGAGACAGGCAAGTCATCTACAATGTTTCTATATATCTAGGAGACTTCCTCACCTGAGTTCTAGAAGAGTCCCATACTTGGAAACTTTAGAAGACAATGTATAAAACAATGTATCTAAAATATACTGAAGTGGACTGAAAATTTTAGATCACAGAAAGAGACATCTAGGCATCCTTGCTAGATCATCGAAATACCTGCAGAACCTTGTGTATCCAACATTCTCCTGACACCTTGAAACGTCTTGTAGCTACCTTGTGACTAAGCTAATGCATGACTTTTTGGCTACAAAATGTCTTTAAAGATGCCTCGTAAATGCCACAGAGACAGCTACTAGAATTCTAGAAATGGCTAGTCTAGAGCTGCACGTTTTGCAAAGAACTTACAGATGTCTAACATGTGTTTTTGTATTCAGAAGGAACATCTTTAGATTGGTACAGCTGAGGACCTCAAAAATGTCATACCGAAAGCAAGAAATATACATTTCCATGCCAGCTTTACCTTTTGCCTGAATGCCTTTTTAATTAAATTTTATGGCCAAAGTCAACTGAAAAGAGCTTCATAATTTAAAAAAAAAAAAAATATGGCTCCAAAAACTTGTAATTTTTCACACACACAAAAATATTGAGTTAAACTTTTTTTTTTTTTTTATTTTGAGGTGGAAGCAAAGAACCTCAAGTATAACTTGAATACATCTTTAGTGGTGAATTCCACTGGTAGATCTGGATTGGTTTCCAAAATTCATGAGGGAGAAGAAAAACCGATTCAAGGCACCCACTCCAAATCGATGCGCGGAAGATGGAGTTGCATGTTTGGAGCGAACTGCCGGAGACGGTCCATCGTTTAATATAGCCTCTGCATGGAACTTGCCCGAGCTTGAACTTGACGAGCTGAGTGCAATTTCCGACGACCAATTACTACTGTCGCTGTCCACCAGCAGAAGAAACACCCGGCGCATGTCGAGTGCATTTTCCGAACCACAGAGTCCATGTCACAAACTGAGAAAAAAAAAATAGATCTGCGTCTGCCACCTTTTTATACAAGTCAGCTGCCCCAGAATGACGGGGCACACACGCAATCCACAGCGGTGGAGCTAAGATTGATGATAAAACATTAATAAACAAACAGATGTAGCAAACAATGACTTGCACGATGGCATGCGGTGCACAAGGGCAAACTATCAGTTGCGGCAGACTGAACACACCTAACCTTGCATCTGCTTCCTTCTTCAGAACATCTGTTGTTCTCTTTCTTGTTCTTCCTCTTGGGATTGCAGATGTCAGCACATGCGATTTGCCACACCCCAATCCTGCCTCTACACCCCCTGAACCATGCGAGGTAGCAGTATCAAAATATTCTGGTGATCTAGTTGGTTATACATACTAAATTACAAAGTGCTAAGACAAGAACAGACGAAGAAGTGGACAGGACAGGCGCTAACTCACAACTGACGGTTTTATATACAACAAGAAAGAAGGTGAAGATAGTGGCTGGTGATGAAAAACGGAGAAGAAATAATTCTATTTCTAGCCGGGGCGTTCTAATAAAGGAGCTCATTAGACTAATAGGACTAAAACACAGTTCACCAACACACAAATATTAAAAATTAAACAAAGGTATAAAATTTGACCTTATATACAATATTATTTTGTTTTAGTTTTTTGTTTTAGTCCTATTAGTGTAACAAGCTCCTTTATCAGAACGCCCCGGCTAGAAATAGAATTATTTTTTCTCCTTTTTTCATCACCAGCCACTATCTTCACCTTCTTTCTTGTTGTATATAAAACTGTCAGTTGTGAGTTAGTGCACGTCCCGTCCACTTCTTCGTCTGTCCTTGCCTTAGCGCTATTTGTAACTTAGTATGAGGTAGCGGCATACGGGACGCAATGCATGCATCGCATGAACTGGCAGTTGCTATCCGCAGTAAACAAGCGACCGAGCGGACGGGCACAACCCGGGATCGAGCATGCGCAGCGGCACGCTGCCGACGACTTCAAGGGAGATCTGTCAATTGACGGAGAGGTGGCGGCGCGGTCCGAAGCGCTGAACGGAGCTTGCGCTGTCACACATCTGTGAGCGGAAGATGACCTACTTGAGCCGGATCTGCCAGCCTAAGGTGTGCGCTCCAAATCTGCGAGTGGAATTCACCATAAACTCATCCTGGTACAAGCCCAGAAGTAGGACTGGCTCAAGTATAATCTTAGCATGACATATATGACTTCAGTATAGGTCTGCTATGAATAGGTTGTGTACTTTCTGGTTTCAACCAAAAAGCACCGATAGACAGACGCCGGTGAAGAAAATACAAAATCGGGTAAAACTGAAAAACAATTAATGGCCGTTCAATGTTTCCACCCTACCGACGGCTATTTTCTTCCAAACTCTTCTCTCATAGAGGTATGTCAAACGCGTTATCTCCCAGATCCTGCATCATCCCACCGTATATTCGGAGGTCGCTGTTGCAGTGATGTGATTGGCCTAAGCCGTTTTGGAGCACCTTTTGGAGCACCAAAACAGTGTTTTGGAGCAACAAAAGTGGTTTTTGGAGCAGATATTCTTAGAAAAATAAACATATTTGTTTTAAGTTCTGGACGAACAAAGGGCACTTCACTCGCCGCAATAAACAAATTATGGTCAAGTTCAATTACCTGGGTGTCTTTCAACATGTAACTGAAATGCCAATGACATGACACATTTTGCAATGCTTCAGTTAAATTATACATATATATGTACCGTTATTGATAAATAAGAACCAAACTGCACATATTAAAATTTAATTGAAAATGACCGCGTTATTAGTAAATAAGCTGGTCTATTAGTAAATAATCTAGTAGGTTGACTACCGTAGTTATATAATATAATAAATGGAAGCAGTCTCCGACTGATGAAACACGCAACTACTGCAGTGCAATGCGAAATTGTACACAAGACAAAGGTGCTTTTATTTTTGCTTTTCGAAACTTTTTAGTACAAGGCTGCTGCAAGCCTCGCTTTGCCTTTGACTAGTAATGAATTCCCACTTTCAATATCTCCAAAGAGACATCGAGACATCCCACAAGTGAACAGTGCTGTGGCCAATGCCGGGCGATTCCGAAAAACCGCTTGCCACCGTTTAACTGGTTCCCGACGTGCCAGATTTTCGTCAAAAGTAAGCAAACATAAAACAATGGGTTGCAAGTGTCCCGGCTGGTGCCTCTGTCGTGCAGTCATGTTCTCATACACATGAGGGCAACTTCGGCAGGCTTGCATTTGCACGTGCTTCGTAGCGCGAGTGGAGATGGCTGTTCGATCGAAACAGACACCATGCCACTCCGCTCCGTCGCCTAGCGATTCTCAAAATTGTACGCAAAATGTAATTGTCCAGCATACGACAAAAAACAGTCCAGCGGCAAGTGCTTGCCAGGCCGGCAGGCGAGGTACAAGCTAAACACACAGAGAAAAAGAACCTGAGCGAGTCAGGTCAAAACAATATCGCGAGTCAGGGTCAAAAATGTACTTGGAGCGCTTTGTACAACGACTGAAGCACTGAAGCGTCAACACACGCCCACGTCTATCGTTGAAATTGTTTTTAAAAAGACGCGAGACGAGACCACGGTGTAGACGAGACAAATGAACGATGAGAGCGTGAAACGAGAGGTGGCGGGAAAAACTATGCAAGACCGGATGGACGAATGATACAGGGTAGTTTTTGTTGGGCGGCCGTTTGCGCTACCTAGCTCATGCATGCTAAGTTACGGTACTCAGTTTAGTTTCGGTTTTGAAAGACGACCAAAATTTATCTTTTGGCGCAGGCTTGGCGCAGTTTACCCATATTTTGGCCAAATGTAGCAGGATGTAGCAGGGTTCGCCCCTTGGCGCAGTTTGGCGCAGCAATCACGTCACTGCTGTTGTTCTTGGAAAACACTGTTAGGTTAGTGGCCCAGGGTCACTAACCTTGGAGAATTCATCTGTTGGCCTGGGGAACGGAGACGCGTTCCTTGTTATCTGTTTAGTTTCCAAGGGCTTCCGGGGCGTTGGGTTCAATTTGATGTCACCCTGTCTTGGGTTTGCTGGAACTGTTCCATCTTCTTTGGATACGAGGGTTGAAGTGTGTATGCGCTCTGTCCACGTCGCAGTCGTAGAAGGTGCTCCAAAAATCCCGCCGCTCCACGGTAAAACGCAGATCATCTTTTCCCAAGTTTCGATAATGAAGTCTAAACTGAGAAACAATATCAAGCTGCGTGTCTTTTTGGTGATCCTGAGACTGAAGTTAGTGCTGCGGCTACAAACAAAAACATCTTCATCATTTGACGTGCCCATCGAGCTCCTTCAAAATAAGGAGCCTCAATTACTGTCGCCATGTCCGCATACATTGAAGTTGACTAAGGGTGCAGAGACTCGTTTTTTTCACTGATAATCACAGTTTTTGCCTTCCCACGAGCCGTCTAACCGAAACACACCGGTCTTTAAAAAAAGAAATGAACACCGAAAAACGTCTGCCCACTTTTGTCGCGAATAAACACTGGAAAATACATACCATAACTATGATGAATGTAACTGCAGCATGACTGGTATAAGTCCAGTCCCAGTCTAGCATAGCTTAGTAGAATTAGGGCATGACTTAAACATACTCCAATATAAACCCAGTACGATTAGAGTAGAACTCCAGCATGCGCAATAGTAACTCTGGTATGATTTAAGTAGAGCTCCAGAATGACAGATACAAGTCTAGTACCACTTTCCCATGACTCCAGCATGAGAACACTATGATGAGTAACTCCAAAGTGACTGGCATAACTCCAGTCTCACTCTCGTACAACTTCCAGTGTAATCTACATGACACCGATATAGCTCCAGTATATTATTAGTAAACTCCAACATACCCCTATTAATATAGCTCCAGTACGATGAGTATAACTAATGCATGACAGATAGAACTCTAGTATCGCTTTCATATGGCTCCAGCATGGGTCCGCTATGATCAGTGCATGAACAGCATGACTGGCCTAACTCCAGTCACACTCCAGCATGACTTCCAGTATGATTTGGGAATGACTTGCACATACTCCGACATAACTCCAGTACAAGTATGATAAAAATAGTTCCAACAAGTCACTCATATAACTCCAGTATAATTTTAGCACAACTGCAGCAATGAGTGATTAAATCTAATGCGATTCAGGTAGTGTGACTCGGATGCCACCCGCAGCACAACTCCCGCATGACCAAGGCACCTTAGCATGATTGCAGCAAAGGCACCCTCACCTCTGCCTTGAGCAGTGCTGCAAGCCGTTCTTTAGACTTGCACCCTTTTCGGGGCCGGATCAGCAGAAAGATCCGCCTGATTCCGGGGCACGAACGCAGGAGCTTCTCAAGGAGGATCTGCATCAAGATGGAAGTGCGGCTGAAGAGAACAAGTCCCCCATGCACCTGCCCCACTGGAACCAAACCGAAGCCTGCTGTGCCTCACAATTATTCACCTTAATGCTACGCATAAAGCCCAAATTACGTACAATGTGGACTGAGGGGGTTGTTATACAGTGCAATCCACTTATAGCGATAATGAGTAAACCCGAAAATGCAATCGTTATAACCGATTATCGTTGTATCTGGACTAGAAACTAATTGTTTCTAGTCTAGAAACTCTACATACTAATCATTATAAGCGGTATATCGTTATACGAGGTATCATTACAAGCGGATTGCACTGTAGTGTGGTATATACTTTCTCGCTACTATTAGCTGACAATGATCCCATGACACAACCCCGTGATCCCGTCACATGGTATCACTTAATCAAGGTGTCACGTAGTCATGTGACAGTTATGTGATCACGATACTCTGACGTAAAGTGACGTGTTCAGATGACACCATAATGTAACGTGACCGCATGACCCACACTGGCATCAACCATCTGACCACCTATGTGGCAGTGACACAAACCACGTGATCACTGCAGGCACGTGTCATCATGTTTCCGTTATTAGCTGTTCCGATTTTGAATTAGAAACCGGTCCATAAAAGCATCCTGCTTTAAAAGAATGGTAACAGGTTGCAGAGAGTCTCAAGTGTTCGATGAGTGGAAGCAATTGCGCACGATCGCAAATAAATCAAACTAGAGCACACAGAGAGAAAACCTTAGAAGTCCCCAAAAACAGAAAAAAGCCATAGCAGTTTTTAGAATGCTTTCTTTTGTCATACGGTTCTTTCGCTCACCTGTAAATAGTCATCGTTATTTTTATTTATATTCTTATTGCCAAATTCAGTACTCTGCTATCACATGAAGTGCTACTTAGGAAAAAGAAAAGTGGCACACATCACACAAATATTATGAGAAAAATGTAAGCAAAGTTCAATTTTCAGCTTGCTTTTACCCCATGCTATGATATCTAGATGACCACTGCATTTCAAACCCGCACTCCCACAGATGCACACTGCATGATGCTGTTAGCACAAACAAACCAGTGCCAGTTTTTTTTCCTGTTTTTAATTTAGTATTGTTGAAGGATTGATCAAAAGTACTAACATTTGGGGCACTAACTAAAAGGGTAAAATTTGACGCCTGCCGACACCCTTTGAAAAAAAAAAATGTGAAAAAGTGTTGACAACGTGTTTGTGCTAGCAATGTTGTGCAGTGTACTCCTACTCTGTGCAGCGTACGTGTATTTGACTCAGCGTTCAAAACGAGACCAAAGATAATGAAACGTGCACACAGAGCACTGACTAACTGACATCAGTTTTCAGTGCCCATCAAAGCAGGAAAGATAACAGATAACAAAATGTACACTGCAGCATGCCATGTGCGGAAAAGGCTCACAAAACATCCAGTCCTTTTGCAATCAATGCAACGGACAGTTGTATACAAGTTAGTTACTTGCATACAAAATTAGACATCTGTATACAACTGTCCGCTGTATACAGGAACCTGATGAGATTGTAAAATCCTATCTTACGATCCCATCGAGCACGAACAGGTTTTCGCCAAACTTTTACCGTGTCTGGCATGTGCTACTCTTTTTGAATTGTAATGAATCAGTGAGCATTAAAAAGTTTCTCAACTTTGCGCTTTTCGAATTTTAACTACATTTGCATGCTTCATGGATTGAAAATACCCACTAACTGCTCACCTGTTCCCCCCTCTCAGTTATACCATGTTTTCCTCTGCCGACTATACAGGTTCAAGAATCGAAATGTTAGGTGGTGCGGACTGTACGAGGATTTGTTCTTTCGAGATCTTTAATTACGATGAGATGTGGCAAATTCTGGAAATGACATAGTATGCTAATGATAATTTATGTATGATACAAGCTTCTCTGTGAGTTAATAAAGCAGGCGTTTGTAAAATAAGCAACATATGATTTTTTTTTTTATGTGGGGATTATGCACTGGGTGCTCTGCTTGTGAAATATGTACAGTGCATTGTACTCTGCTTGTGTCATATGGGATCCATACCATGACCATTCTAACAATAAACAAAAAAAAACTTCTGAATCAGGCCGCATATCTCGTTCTAAATAACTAGCACTGATGGCCATGCTGGGAAGGGAAACACTTGAAATCAGAAGGAAGAAAAAACGACTCGAGTTTTTTCCTCATATTTTGCAACAATACTGGAATAGATAAAACTGCACATCTTTTAGAGCCCTCCTACATCTCTTTTCGTTGCAATAATAAAGGTTTCTGTATGCAGTTATCAAACAGACTGTTTTCAAAATTCATCCTTCGTTAAGATGTCCCAGAGAGGGGAGACAACCTTTCGGAAAAGATATTGTACATTAATGACAATGATGCTTTATTTTCTTGCTTGTCAAAATACACAGATCCCGACTATAATGCCTACAAAAGCAATGTAGGTACAACATAAAAAAAGAATAAAGTTCATAAGTAGTAAAATTGCCTCAAAAGATTACCAGCTAATCTCTCTTTCTTTGAGTCTGATCCAACAAAGGGGTTGAGAAGGAAGGGAAAACGATGCGGTTGGTCCACAACAAGTAGCCATCAATCAATTGCGGTGGAGCGCCTGCGTCAACAGTGAGCATGACCTTGGCCGAATCGTTCTTTCCTTCCCTGCCAGGCGATTTGCTGGCCGCCGCCAAGGGAGAGAATCTGTTCACCAGGAGAAGCTGTGGTCCAACTATGCAGCAATATAGTCTGCTCATATTACTGAATGTTTCTTAGTGCGGTCATTCGAATGCTGTTTCTCTATGCCTTCAAAAACATTTTTTGCACAATAGCCCGCGTTTCAGCTGGGCAGACCCACTGTATAACATGCAGAACTGCATATAAATGTATACTTGGCTATCCATCTTCCACGTATGTAAAAATATTGAACTGTACATAAAAGTGATTAATGTACATAAAACTCTATATAAAAGTGATTAATCTATGTGAAACTATATTAAGGTGTTTAATCGATGTAAAACTGTATACACAAGTCTTTAGTCAATGTAAAACTGTATATAAAAGTGTTTCATCCAAAGTGAAAGTGTATATAAGGTGTATGGTCAATGTAAAACTGTATATAAAAGTGTTAAATATATGTTAAACTGTATATAAAGGTGTTTATTCAATGTAAAAGTGTACCATAGAATACCGCGCATCCACCCCATTTCACATTAAGCGCCCATTACCAAATTTGTCAGATCTGAGAAAATATGCACAGTACATTTATATGTAAAATTGATGACCGAACAAGTGCCCATCTCCCATTTTTTTGCGATTATCTCCAAAGTTTTAGTGGGCGCTTGCCCGGTATTTTACGGTACATAAAAATGTTTAATTTATGTAAGACTATGCAGTGCAACCCACTTATAATGATAATGAGAAAACCCGAAATTTCAATCCTTATAACCGATTATCACTAAATCTGGACTAGAAACTGATCATTTCCAGCCTAGAAACTTTAGAAACTGATCGTTATAAGCGGTACACCGTCATATGTGGTATCGTTATAAGATAGTTGCACTGTATAAGTGTTTTATCTATGTGAAACTGTATAAAAATGTTTAATTGACATAAAACTATATAAAAGTAAAGTGTCAAAGGTAATGAGATTTGCGAAGCAGGGGACAACACCACCTTCTTTTGTCATTAGTAGCCTGCAGCCTCATGCTGAATAACTGTTGATTGTTTAACTGAACTCTGGCACTAGTTGTTTCCTTGCTCTCTTTTATTCTTGAGCAATAAATCTTTTATTGGGTTTTTCATAGGGAACTGAGGAATACATGTAGATTTACGAAGCATGCCGACCAAGCTAAGAGTCCTATAAAAGAGAGTCAAAAACCTTTTTAGTTAAGCTTTCAGGGCCTCAGACCACTTATCAATTACATCATGACCTCAGGAACACAGGTTGCAAGGCTCGCTTCATGTGGACATATTTAAATCCATGAGCAGAAGTGGATCCACTCCTGAGTAACAGCCATCCAGTGGTCAGCACACAAACTCCGTTTCACTCAAAGACGTACCATAGCGAAAACTACAAGCTCGGGCTCGTAGCCTTCGTGGTGGCACATCTTAAGACGAAACGGAGTACTATCAGGTACGAATGAAACGCGAACAGCGAAGCATATGACCTTCGATACATGTTGCACAACCTAGAGGCAACTAGGAACTGCGGGGCGGAGAGAGTGCGCACGGCAGAATTCCATATCATAGTTTTATCAGCTCCTAGTCGCCCTTAGGAAGCACAGCATGTATCAATGGCCATGCGTTTTACTGTTTGCACTTCATTCGTACTCCATAGTACATCGCCATACTTCTGCCAACCTTGCCTGGTGGGTACCGGAAACGGACGTCGGCTGTAAGCCGGTGCTCCGTCCATGCGCCTTTTTTCCTTGTGTTTTCGTCACCCAAGGTGTCCTACCACCAGCTAGCCTGAATGCGAGGCCTAGGGCAAAGGAGAAGTCTGGAAAGGGCTGTGCATACCTTACCCAGGAAGCCCGTGACCCCCGTGATGAGCACCGCCTTGTCCCTGTAGAACTCCTGCACTGCAAGCTCCTCCTCCCTCTGGCTACAAACTCCTGCGGACACAAAAGCGGAGGTCTTGCATTGTTTTCCGACACACTGCACAACGGCAGGTTCACGCTGGAGTAGCCGTATTTGCTTCGCTTGCATTTCGGTATCATGACCGGCCTCCTCTCTTTACCGACTCATTCATCAATTAAGAAAGCATGTGTTATAGGTTGGGTTTCACAAGAAAAGCCTCACACTTGACTGACACGTGACATCCCGTGACTTGACGTCGAGTTTGGGTGTCGTGAGGCATTGTAGCCACTCAATGTCACACACGCAACATGGGCCCAGGTCATTTGCAACCCATTTCGCGTGTCTCCGAGGTTATGAGGTATGATCAGGACACGCTTTATTGTTTCTATCAGCATAGTGCCAGCCGTGAGGCCGAAATGAGTTGGTAGGCACGTTGAAAGCAAGATCACCCTCAAGTATTTAAAACATCACTGAGAAAAGGAGACCCATTTGCTCTATTTACAGCTTAGACAGACAGTTCCATTTGTTGATACATTTCACAACAAAAGAGTTGCTAAAAGAGTCTGTGTCAAAGCGGTAAGGATTTGTTGGGTTTTGTTTTAGATGCATTACTGCAATTTGCACACTAACATGTTTCCAACAATCAATAACAAAGTTTATCCGAATCAACGTCATCCTGATACTTATAGGCGAGTGACCGTTGCCTCTGCGGGAGACGCAGCAACATGGGACCTTGGTCAATGATGGTGCGGCGATTGTGACCCTCTCCCTCGAAAGTGCATGCTTGTCCACAACGCAGTCGTCTGCTCGTCCACGGCCATTTTAATGCAGTGCTCAAGTTACAAAAAAAAGAAGTGATTACGAAACTGCCTACTGGCACCCATAACGTTCAAAGCCTTAAGAAGCTTCCTGCTCACCTTACTTCAGTGGAAAATCTACAACTTGCAAACGTCGAGCGAAATGTATGTTCCACAAAAAAAAACTCGGCACTCCACAAGGCCGCTTCCACATAAGCACTTTGGATAATTTTTGTGCATGTGACCCCCTTTCCACCAATGATGAGTTGGCAAAGAAAAGAAAGAGAATGCTATACCCTTGCCCCACCATCTAGTTGGTCAAGTCCACACTAATAGCTGAGGCGTCTGTACAAGTGAATGGGAAACACACCAAGTAGAAGCTTTGTACGTGTGGCATGCACCTGCGCATTAAAGGCTTTGGAAAGTGCTCTATGCTATACTGCTCTAAAAGAAACCCTCAGGGCATAAATTCCCATTTATTATGATGTGATGTTGTTCACAGACATCAGCAGGGCATATCGGCAAGGGATTTTTCTGCGGACTTCCAAGTGCTACAGCACTTCAATGAGCCAATGAAATTCACCCCCTCCCCAACCTGCTTCAAAAAAAGGTTTCAAGGAGAAAAATCTAGTATTTGGATCCGAATTTCCAAAAAAAAATCCTCTATGTTCACTAAATAAAAACAAAAACACACACACAAAAAGGAAAATCTCAAGATTTCCCAAAGATCTTGACTTGAAGTTTTTTTTTTTAAATAAAGACACGCTCAGAGGAAGTGCATCATTGAGTCGGCAGTCATGTGACTTGTTTTTCCCAAAGGAATGAACTGGAAGAAACAGGTAAAACTGCATACTAATTACAGGATTAATAACACTAATCGAATGCTCGGCTGCCTTAAATGTAACTTTTTTGGTCCCTTTATTCTTAAAGTTACTTCTTTATAAATCAGAAGTGAGACTAAGCTTGAGCATGCTGCATCCATCTGGGACTAATTCGTTGACTCGCTTGAAACTGCTCAGAACAAAACCGCGTGTTTCATACTAGACATTTATAACCGCATCGCAAGTATAACAATAAGGAAAGATACTTTACGGCTTCCATGTCTTGCACATTGTCGGCCTCTGTCATGTTTGTCTTTTCCACAAAATCGATCACCATATCGAAGCACAACAAAGAAGAAATAACCCACCCACAGCCTGTTTTGGTGCGCCTCAATCATAGTCACAAATTCCCATTTGACACTCTAGAAATTTTATGAATCAAGTGTTAACTACGCTTTTTTGTAGAACTATTGCCAGCTGTCAGTTCTCTACTGCACGAGTAATGGCTTACATGCATGACGTCATTACAAACTGCAGTATGTATATGCCGCTTCTACTTCATTTTCATCTCTCACTTTATTTTTGTAATGCATCTGTTGTGCCCCAAGGGTAAAAATAAATAAATACTCAGCCGACGAATAAAAAAAACATTATGGTTTTATCAAAGAAACAATAAGTGCTATTGTTCAACACCACGTTTCGGAACACTATCCTTGTAAAATTAAATAGCTCACATGCCAGACAAAATTAAACTTGTGGGAAATGCATTATCGGATGGTGTGCTTACAATGAAATATCGAAGGTCGAATCGGCATAAAATAAAGATCTTAGAAACACAACACTGACATCTGCCAATGGGGAATGAGTGCAGCAAAAGAACAGAAATTTCGAGGACCACTCAAAAACTGGGTTTTACTTTTTAGCTCTCAAGAATGGGAAAATAAGTTCTACATTCATATGTGTTCATGAGACTTTACTTGAAATAGTCAAGAGGGAAGCTAAGAAGCTGTGTCGGTCGCTGGATTAGTCGCCTGCTCAGGTCGGTCGATAGTACGAAAAAACTTCACTTTAAACGTCAGTTTTACCGCAAAAACCCATAAGGTTGATTGTTCTATGTGGGTATTAGTTTCCCAAAAAGGGACCTCGTGAAAATCGGTTGCCATGCAATGACTGCTCCATAGACATAGAAGATTTATTGTATTTCTTACCCCATAGGAAATTGCTGCACTGTGTCGAAGAGCACACAAATAATTTTAAGTGAGTCGCCCCCCAGAACATGACAGGCATTTGAGTCAATGGTTTTCTCAAATTACTCTCTTTATCTTAAATAAACTTTTGGCAGATTTCAACAGAGCACCTTTGTACAAAGGAAGGGAGTGTGCACAGGGTCTTGCATTGCACCCATTCTCAGCAACATATATTTTACACATCACGACACAGACCATTTTAGCCTTTTAGGCGGTTCAACTGTAGTAAAATGCTTTAGCTTTAGCCTTGTTGACGACTTTCCTGTGATTTTAGATTGTACTAAACATGTTGCCAACCACTTGGTGTCAAATCCACTGCCTGTATTTGGTAACTGCCCGGCTCCTTTAGCCTTGACACACGAGCTGGCTGCAAATGGGTGCAAACGTTTCCTCGACCTCCTCCTTAATTTTCCGGAAGACAGGTTTTGTTGGTTGTATAAATCCCGTGGAATAAATCTGCTTTTGGCTTCCAAATCTGCCTATTCCAAATTATTACCGTGAATTGGCGCTTCATGAATGGCTTAAAGGGAAGCTGAAATGGTTCTTGAAAAAAAATAAACGAGTTAGAGGTGAATTCTAGGGCATTTTTATTCCGTGAATTTAAATATCATGTTTTCACCGAAGATGTAACTAAATATGAGAAAACACGGAGAACTACCGACCAGTTGTGATGCTGTGCAAGGATCTTTAGGCCGTCAAACGCATGTCGCTTGTGTGGGCAGTGCACGCACTGCAAGCTTGCCAAACATATTTCCCTGCACCGACAGCAGCTGTGACATCCTTTTCTGACCTTTTTGAAAATAGCAAGGGTGCGCATGCATAGCTTTGACAGACGCTGAAGACGCACGAGAGCAGAGATTCAGAAAACTCCTTTAATGACGTAACTCTCCGGGAAGGAGGGGCTTCAGCAGTACTTTGAAAATAGTTTTCTGCGGCCTTCGTGTACCAAATTGAAAAATAATTTCGATATTCGTGATCCTGGCAGCCAAATAAATATGATTTAATTGTTTTTACTCAAATACAGAACTGTTTTAGTTCCTCTTTAAATCCCTGTTCCCAGTTAGCATAGGCTAGCTCAGGCGCTCAAATTTCCCACCTTCAGATGGCAGAGCATCCATAACACCTTCTGACCTCAGTTGCACGCACTTCATTAAAGAAAATTAAAATAGAAGGCGGTGCAAATACGGTGAACATATTCAAGAAAAAAAAAAAAAAAGTTGCTAAGGTTCCATATTTACATAGATCTTCTCATGGCTTGAAGAAAATAGGAAGCAGGGTAGACGTCACTGTTGTCTTCTATGCCCTTAATGCCCGTGTCCCACTAGAGCGGCAAACAGAAACAAACGACAGCGACAAGCCTCAAACCAGAGCCTTTCGCGATTTGAGAGGCTTTGTAGAATAAAGGAGGCTACGGCTCAAACACGAGCATCATGTGCGCGAGGGTATCTTTGGCAGACTTGCAATCGCTCATGCTTACTTCACAAGCACCGAACGACTAAACGCCTGCCAAAGGTACCATCGCGAGCATGCTCCATGAGTTTGAGGCCTGTCGCTTTCTTTTGTTTCTGTTTGCCGCTCTAGTGGGACACGGGCATAACAAGTTGTCTCTAAATTTTGTAAAAATGTCAATCATGGGGGAAGGGTCTCCAGGCTGTACTAAGGGACATCAGAATCAGTTCGTTGAATGCACAGAAAAAGTGTTATATTACATTCCGCTTTCCTGCGGTAAACAGTACATAGGTCAAACAGGCAGATGGCTGAATGATAAAGGAAACACCATTATAATGTAAACAAGGTGGTATCAGGACACTTGTGCATTCCCTGTCGTGACTGTGGGTGCGCTGCCAATTTTGGAGTGCCCCGAACAGAGAAATCACTGAAGCGGAGACGATTGCACAGCTAAAGAAAGATTATGTAAGCACCTCATCGGTTTTGTTATCTGGTAAAGAGCTATGATTTTTCGCACAACGACAGCGACCATGATAAGGGTGCTGGGATCTACTGGTACGCAATTGGATGCGTACATTTTTTCTTGGTTGGTCGTCAAATATAAGGTTGCACCTTGAGGATTACACTTCAATTGCAAGTTCAGCGATTGTGTGTCCTCTTTGTTCTGTCTTTGTGCACTTTAGGTTTTAACCGTCATGCCTCACCAACACGCCCAAGCTTC